TATTTATTTGTATGTATGTATTATACGAGTATATATCTTTAAAATGTATAATATTTACCAGGATATTTTTTAATGATTTTTTTTTCGTCCGTTATAATAAATAATGTAGTAAGTGCAATATTTTATTTTTTAGATTCGTCATAAAAATAAAAAATGTATACTTTTTCATAGATTATCACGAATTAAGATTTATTTATATATATATATATATAGCCGTGATATCAATCCGAAATGATACTAACTTCTACATTTAATCAAACACACACTATAATCACGGAAAAGTATGCAAAGTAATCAATTGATAACTTGATAAATTTTTTTTAGTTTTTAACTACCTACCAATTAATAAATTAAAATTAAGTTTAGTTAATAAAATTAATAAACGAAATAATTCTTTGTTATTTTACTTTCAAAATAAGCTAAATAGTAGTCAGAGTAACAACTATAAAGTATGTTTTTAAAGTAGGTAGTAATTTAACACAATATTTCAATAAATAATAGGTATCTTATATCGATGCACTTTATTTTATTACTTGAAGGTGCACAAAACACAAAATTATTTCTTAGAATTTTGAAGAAAAATTATATAAATTTAAGGAAAAAAAAACGAATACATAGACAATCAGATCTCAGTACTTACCTTAATCGTTATTTCTTTTGTACATATTTTAGGAAAAATAACGATTTCAACTTTTTAAAATTGCAAAATCTTTTAAATAAATCATTATTTACATTTGTACATTTTTTTTAAAAAGAATCTGTTATTAAAATTAAATATTTATTATTTTATAACTGAAATATATGTAATTTATAAATAAGAAGTTAAAATTGTAAGAAGTTTTGTTTTTACTATTGAAGTTGTTATTTGTTTTATCCAAAAATTACATCCAACTATTTAATCTAAAGAAAATTATTTCGATTCATATCTAATCTATATAATTATATAAATGTTATTCTTTATAGTTTTCTTAATGTTTCTGTAAATGCCTGGTCATATAAGAAACTAAGTAGTTATAATACTGTTTAAGATAAACTGATTTGCGCTATTTATATGAGTATTGTATGAAATATTGTTTTATAACATAGTATTATATACTAGGTAACGCTCCCACTATTTGGAAAAGAACTAGGAAGGTCACTGAGTTAATAAAAATGGGTATTTCTACTAGTAAACTTATTTTTTAAGGGAGAAGGAGTAGACACGCAGTAGTTATGAACAAAAGTAGTCCGATATTTAAATATATTTAACACATTTGTATCGAAACATAAAGAATACTAAGAATAAAATGCACTTTTAAACGATTGAATGAATAATAAATGGGAAAAATTCATACTCAAAAATACGGTACGCTTTTTCGTTTTGCTGATAACGTATTTGAATGTTTAACCGTCATGCAATTATAATATAGAAAACGAAGTTGACGTGTTTTATTTATAGTTTATGTTTAGTGCAATCTCACAGTAAAGTGCAAGGGATTTGGAATAAAATAAACGGGAATAATAACGGGAACACGTTGAAAACCAATTTTGAACCGAAAAACGATTGAACTATTATATTATTTAATTACTATTATTATCTTTTTATAATGCGTTTTATAATGCGCTAAATCGATCGACGTCGACTTTCATATAGCGACTGAATGCAATGATCACAAGACATATTCATGTACCAATGTATTAACGTTAGCTTTTTTTTCAACATTCAGTTTTATGTATTATACCTAATAAATGTATAATTCTCGACTATCCGTAATGATCATATATAATTACATCAGTTTCAATAGTATACCACATTCATTTAATTCTAAAATTAAAATTAAATTATTTCTAAAATGAAACATATTTTTAAGTGATCATAATGTATAAATGCTTCTAACAAAACCGATTTCATTTATCACTAGTCGATCTTTTCAGTTCCTCGAGATTATCAGCGGCAAAAAAATCGGTACAGCACTGTGCGAGACAATCGACAGTGGAATTCGAAACGCAAATTTAAACCTATCATTTTGCCGTTTGGTTGACGCCATAACTCGAATAATCGCATTATAAACGAACAACAACACAATTCCCGTCACTCGCATGTGAACGCATTTCAATCGCCGCGGAGCAAACGGAATGATTTATGATTTTCTTTAGAGAAATAAGAACGAACCCCGTAGAATGTCCGTCGTCGGGGTAAAAGCGGCGATCGACTTCTGGCCGGTCGCACGGGTCGACGTTGACTTCAGCGCACCGCAATATTCTATTAGCGAATAACATGCACCGCGTTTTCGATCGGTGTGCAACGGTGGAGAATGTTAAGACGCTCCGTTAAAAACAATTGTTCTGCGAGGGTCCTTTGACTGAGCGAAGGCGACGATTTCGGACACGCTAAGTCGAACACTAAGAACGAAACTGGTATACGAGCACAATAATTACATCTTCTATTAACAGCGCATGTTCTTTAAAACAACAACCTGAAAGAGCGCGCTGCCGACGATTACTGATAAGTGGTAGTTTTGGAATTCTTGTTATGACTTTCCTGGATCATACGCGAAATGTTGCGCCTACTCTTATTACCAGTTTTTAATTTTGTTTTATCGTTTTGAAGAAATTATCGTCAGCTTTGGTCTGGTTCAACAAGCGTTTTCGCCGGTTAGAACTCAACACGAAACACAACAGTGTTAATTTGCTGCTATTGAAGTTCGTCAATCGTCAAGACTCAAAAGAGTAGTAATAAGTTAGTTAATTTTTTTTTTTTTTTCGAACGAATATAGATACAAAACTAATATTACGGAAGGTGGACAAAAAATGTTTGGTGAACAAAGTGTTACTCGTACAAAACAATGTTGTACCGCATTTTATATCGGTTTGCTCTTACGAGCAGCTTCGGATTACGCGCACTTTCTGATGACGGGATTCCAGGTGAAAACCCCAAAAGTACGCGCTTTTCGCGAAACGGCTCAAAAGAAATCAGGACCGATAGCGGCAGTGTCGCTGCAAAGGTCGCGTGGCGTACGAAGGGTGGTGCGCGGTAATATCGTTACACTTTAAGTCGCGCAAGACTCTCACGTCTCGGCGACGGTGGCCGAAGTCGGGACGAGGGTAGATGCCTTTAAGTGGTCGGGTGAGAAAGAGGTTGGTGAGCGCGTGTTTCGATTTATACAATGTGTCCTATGCGCGCGTGCTCGCGTACGTGTGCGTACGTGTATACAAAAGTTTAGGCGCGCGCGCGCGCTCCGGTGCATGATTGATGAGAGAACCGGCAGCAGTGTTAATGACGTCTAACAAGCTGCTATTCAAACCGCGCGGCTCTCTTATCGCCGGAGAGCAACGGGGGTTGGGCAGGCGGAGAATCGCGGCCGACGAGTTCGTGGGGTCTGCGGTAGCACGTCGTCGTCGTAGTCGTCGCGTGTGCGTGCCAGGCCCGAAAATATGGTAACCAAAATTGTTTTTTTTTTTTTATATTCCGTTATTTATCTACCCCGAATGTTGTCACCCTCATTGCGTCTAGCGGTGGCACTTATCGAACGGAGAACGACGATCGGTATCGCGCGATACGATATGGTACCGTAGGGAGAGAAGTACGCGGGGTGTAAAGGACGAAACCGATAACAAAATAATTGAGCCCGATGGCTTTTTCGCTGCGACTACTTCAACTTCCGTGTCCGCAACCGTCATAATATTGCCACACGGTGCAAGCGCATCGGTATCGGCGCGTGTCATCTCACGGCTCGCCGGGGACGTTTCCCGGACGTGGCCGTTACCGATGCCCGAACTGCGGATAGTCTTGAAAAAGGAACATGATCCGAATAAAAAAACGCGATGACGTGCACGCGTGGTGTACGCAATCTGTACGCTATTCACTTGCCCCGGAAGAATCGCATTGTCGACGTATTTTTTTAGATCGGTTTAGGGTTGTGATGACTTTCGGACGGACGGTATTATGCGTGTACGCGAAGGGAATTTTGAAAGCTTTGAAAAATAAAAAAATGTTTATAACAACAACGACAACAACGTTCTAAGGGTCGAGCGCACGTTTAATTAGTTCGACGAAACGTTCGCGTAGTAATCTACTAGGCATTTGTGTGTACCGCAGTGTTTTGTTGGAGGGGAAATCGCCGAGTTCGCACGCGCTGTTTCGACATTTGACGCTGTTCACGAATATAAATACGTACAGAAAGAGTACCGCTGTATACTTTCTCATTGTACGTCGTACGCCCCTAATAACATATATATATATATATATATGGTTTATGATGTATGAAAAAATGTATCGTGCTTACAAAAAAACAATAGGAACGTTTGAAATTATCAATGGAGATTTGGATATTTAACTATGTTCCATTATTGATTTTTTTATTATTACATGATTAGAACCATTAGGTGTTGTGGTTTACGATGAAATGTTTAACGTTTGCCCGTTTTCGCTCTAAATTATTTAAATCGTGTTTGAAGCCCGGGAATTTTTTTGACGTAGGATTAATCATTTTGAACTCTTCGACCTCGAAAAATAGCCATCTCATGGATTATGACTATGAAAATGAAGATAACAGAGATGATGATGATTAAATTGCTAAAAAAATGAAATGATAAAATGTTTAGATAATATTAACACCCGTTGTTTATTTACCGGTTTAAAACTTACACATATTATATATTTATCTATTGAATGAAAAATAAACTTTTCTGACTGTTTTATAATCTTCATTTTTATGAAATATTTCATAAAATACTCGTACTTACATTATTTTAACTCCATAACATTTATTTAAGCTTCAAAGAGTTTTCCACATGTTTTCATAATCTTGCCTCACTGTATACGACGTGTTAATGTTTCGTAATTCTAATTATACTCGTACTTTTAGTTAATTTTAATGTTTTATTTCATTATCAATTAATCAAAATGGATGGTAGCATTTTCACAGTACAAACTACAATATTTAACTATTTTTGCTACATGTATTGTTCGTACATTTATCGATGACGGATATAATTATAATCTATCGATTTGTTCGCAGGTCATCCGAGATTTTTCAATCAGCTCTCGTGTGGTTTGGACATCGTGTCTATGGCCGGCGAATGGTTGACCGCAACGGCGAACACAAACATGTTCACCTATGAAATCGCTCCGGTATTTATTTTAATGGAAAGCGTGGTTTTGAGCAAGATGCGGGAAATCATTGGTTGGAAGGGTGGAGACTCGATTTTCGCTCCAGGTAACTATCGCACTTACCATTATTATTGTTAGAGAAATTAGAAATATAAGCGAAAAAGACGAAGCCCGAACACAAAAAAAAAAAGATCAAAAATAGTAAAAATTAGTAGATATATCAATAATTAAATGCATTTTATCCAATTTTTAAGTACAATATAATTGTTAAATTACATTTCTATAAAACAATATGCGGTTTTATTGAAATATTTTATTTCCATTCTATTTGTAACTATTTAAATAACTATCCCGCAAAATGTACGTATTGGGATCAGTTTATTTTTCTATTGGTTACATTACATGTATGGCCATATTAAACACGGATCGAAAACAAATGTTTGATTGCGTGAAGTACGAACAACGAAGCACATATACGGAGGCGTTTTCCAATACGTTTTTAAACGCGCGTTTCCTTCCGGTTGACAGGTGGATCGATATCGAATATGTACGCGTTTCTGGCAGCCCGACACAAAATGTTTCCGGGATACAAGGAACAAGGACTCCATTCCATCAAAGGACAGCTGGTCATGTACACATCGAATCAAGTGAGTATTATTGTCTGTTATTTCCTCTCGGCGTTTTCGGGCAGCTGTCGATCACGCGTGTTACATGCGATTTTCGAAACACGTATTACTGATTCACCGAGGGTGTAAATAAATTACATATATATTGTACGTACGTCTATCGTGTGAATATTTCGGCGATACTGACAAAACTGTTGAGTCCATTTATATTATATATGTGGCGCATCGGTCAGACAGACCGTTTTGATTGACATAGGACGTGTGACAGACAAATAACAAAATTAGATTTGTATACGTACGAGTGCTATATCGGAAAACTGTATGCGGATAAAATATCAGTCTCATTGAACGAATATGTGTCAAAGCAAGTGTAGAGATGAGAATATTATCATTTGGTTGTGTAATAATTACCAATTTAGTTTAAAACATTTTTAAATAATAAATCGTTTGTTCAATAAATGATTGCTGCTGATAAATTAATGAATCAGAAAAAAACGGTTGTTCAGAATGCTTACATCTCTCCCTCTCTCCTTCCATCCATCACGAAGTTCAAAAACTTAAGTGGCAATGAGTAAAATATTAATTGTAATTATTTATATCGTCGAATATAAAACGACTAAACGATATCGAACAAATGCGATAGTGTATCTATCGAGTAGTATACAATTCGTAATTATCAAACGTTTACTAAAACAAGATTTACTTCAAGAGCACATAAAATCCGAGTAAACATCACATTCGTACACCCGTCACCGTCCCGTCGTCGGTCTTCGAGCTTCACCCAATCGGTGGAAGACGATTTATTTATTATTCGTATTCGTATTATTATTATTATCATCATCATTAATTTCTACGATCCGAGAATCACGCGTAGTGCCGAACATATCTGGTTCAAAAGCGGTGTACGCGCACATATTAATCTGGGGAGAATAGGGTAGGCGCGCATATTTTTTGTTTTAATAACGCGTGGCTTGACAAACAGAAAACAATAATTTGACGTCCGCGAAACACGCAGCAGCGCGCGCGCAGCGAACCAGAAATCAAACTATACACTCGTCCGCCGAAATGAACAATGTGCAATGGTTCCGCCCTCGGTGCACGTGGGGGTGCGGACGCTCGCGTGGATGTTTTTAATTTAAAACAACACGCGCGCCAGACGCACCGGCGCCGTCACTCGTGCAAGGTCCGCCGGGTGAGCGCGCGCGTACACTACTACTGCAGTAAATCGGTAATCGAAAAACCGAAGAGTTTTACGAGCGAGAACACGCCGAACGCGAGGCCTCTTCTCGTAACCATATATTCCGTACGCGTAACAGTAGATTTTACCGCCTCTAAGCGGCTAAGCGGTTGGACAATTCGGTCGATTTCGTAGTGATACCTGCGCGACCGAGCTATTCCGCTCGGCGAATCTCGTTTTCGTATCATTCGGTTGTGTTCTTCCGGCAACGAGGGGAAAATTGGAGGGGGTGAAGTTAGTTTTTTTCCCGCGCGGAAGCCAGGAAATAATTATTAAAACACATCTACTCGTCTACTTTCACTCGGAATCGTTCAAATTTTTATTAAAATAACCGTATGATCCAACACAATCTGTTTTGTATAATTTACCTTAAGAATCACGTAATCTCGAACGAGTTCTTAAAACGATCGCTACAATCGACTACAAATTAGTTTGATATTTTCATTAAAACATATGTGTTTTATACACTTAAGTGAATTTCAATGTTCTGCTACTGTGTGTTGGAATACAGACATTAAATCCTCTAGTCGGCGGCATCTCGTCGACCAACACACCGTTCCTGATTGTTGACGGAATATTATTATATTGTAATATAATATTCAGGAGTTCGTGGCTAGTTATTTTATTTTTTTCCAAAACAATCGAATATCTGCACGATTTCCGATCGTTCAACTAATTGATTATCCGATTGTTAATCGATAGACGGTTATTCGATAGTTTATCATTGATAAAAATAATCGCACAGTAACCGTGTGACTGAGGAAAACGCGATCGGTTAAAACCGCCATGGTCGGGTGGAAAACGAGCCCGTCCAATGCACCCGCGGAGGACGTGCACCGGCAACAACACGAGGCCCGTACGGGTAAGATCGTCCTTAATGCCCTTAAGGTATTCGTTTCTCTCCCCGGCCCGCGCCGACGGGGAGTTTCCATTGTCGGTTAGCGTGCCCATTATCATCGGAGTCGTATTATCCACCGAGCAGGACGGGCAGCTGCCTCCGTTATTTGGGGGTCTCGGATTTTCGTAAACGGGTTTTTTTTTTATTTTTTTTAATAAAACTTTCATCGTACGAAATAAATATCTGCAAGACGTAACGCGAGGACGTTTCGGAGGACTACAAAAATCTATAAGGATAAAAAATATACTCGTACCTAATATTGTCATTTTATTCATGAAAATTTAGGATTGATTTGGAATCATTAATTCGCAGTATTGTACCGCTCGTGTGTCGGAAGGGATGCATAGATACGCTACTGTTGACAAGGGACCACATTTTTTGTTTATTTCGCCTCGGATTGCGTAAATCGGGCCCGGGTCACCATCACGCGCTATTCGCGCGCACAGTTTTTCACAACTTTTCGTCCGTCGGACGTGCAATATCGAAAATAATCTATTTCATGGGCCAACGTTAGTACGATCGGGTAGGGTAGCTCGTGCGTCCAACTGCGTTAACCCCGGCCGGACGTCACATTGGATTTAAACGTAGGCATCGGTGTTGCGAGAAAACAATTTTCTATCGGCGAAATACGTATACTAGGTATGTGTATAACCGGTAGCTTCATTAGAGGTATTGTTTTCGATCTCATTTGATTTTTTACGTAGCCATACGCGTTTACCGCGATACGACACGCGCCGCAACACGGAAGACGTAACGTTTAAATCAATGATTAACATTAATATTGTGTACGATAATATTGCTTTGTATTTTATCGCCACCGAATCGTATTATTTTCATTTTACAGTCTCACTACTCAGTGAAGAGCTGTGCATCGGTTTGCGGACTTGGAACGGACAACTGCGTTGAAGTGCCGAGCGACGAAAGGTAAACCGCAAAATGTTGCATTATATTAAATATAATATAATTAAATTCTGTACTTATTTGTATCAGCCACCAGTATTTCTGTTCATCTAATAATAATACAACTGTCTAACATAAAATTTATAGACCTGTGGTTCTCAACATTTTTTGTTCGCGGACCACTTCTGTTCCTAAAAAAATTTACGAGAATCCCTACTTGAGACAACAATAAAATGTACAGAAAAAACTATAAAATAATATTTCATCGAATTTATCAATATTATCGTCAATCGATTCTACATATTGCTTTGACTAGACAAAAATATCAATTTTTTGCTGAGGAAAACTCACAGCTAAACAATTAATATTTTTTTTTTTTAAAGCTTGGATTTTGTCAAGAATTTTACAAAATATTGATAAGTTGTCTTCATTTAATTTTGTAAAAATGTTAATGAAGTAATGAAGTCAAAATAACCAAATTTTATCAATAAGTCTGAGTTTTAAATGAAATGAAAATTTGGTGAAAAACCGTACAATTCATTGCGCAACCAAGTAATCGTACCAGTATTTTTCCTTGATAACTGAGAAATATAATAATATTTGAATTTAATTAACTCAGATGTACCCATGTAGCTATGGAGCCCCTAGACTTCCCTAGAGCTTTACAGAACACAATTTGAGAACCGCTGGTATGCTGGTATAGATGATTTTATATATTTTTTTTTAATATTCGTATGTAACAGTCGTTATCGTCTGTAATTAGTTTAAAATTCAATCGTAGTATATCGAATTTTGAATTGGACGCATCATCTTTTATGGATTATTGATACATATGGTTATCGAATACGAGAATTTAATGTACCTACTTGTAATAATGACTGTTTTTGTTTTTCTTCTGCAGACACTTGTGTTGTATGATTTTCATAAAACATCATTAATCATTGCTGCAACCGCTGTTCTAGTCATCATTACTTTGTAGTTTATTTTGTACAAATGTTTACACCACAATAGAAGAAAAACTTTTCACTTACAACAATTTATATAATTTAAGGAAAAAAATATATTTCTGCAGTTATTACTTATATCAACTATCTGGACGAAAAATCTCAAAACATTATATTCAAAGCGTTTCTGGGCAGCTTAAAAATTGTGCGCGATAACATTACAAGCTTTTAGTTGATAAAAAAATTATTTTCAACCAAACAAATAAAATGTTTAACTCGGCTTGAATATTTTCCATTATATAAAATACATATATTAAATCTAACTAAAGAGTTTTAACAGTTTTTAAAAAACATACAAGATAAAAACTTAGTTACTCATTATTTTAGACAGAATGTAATTTAAATCGAAATGAACAGAGTCATTAGCCCTAACTAATGTTAGATTGTTTAAAATTTTGTAAATTTTTTATTGACCCTTATAACTTACAAAATTAATTAAATTCATACTTAAAAAACTTAAAAAAAATACGAGTGAATAGAATGGGTTTGAAAAAAAATTTAATTAATTGAATTAAAGGTATATAATATTTGTAATTTACAATTATGTACAGTTAGTGTATAAAATGTTCATTTCTTCATTATTTATTCCTTAAACTTGCTTACATTCATTAATTTATATATAATATCAATATAATAATCTATTAAACATTTATTATTCAGACATATTATTCGTTGCAAAATTAAAATACGTTTATACGAAGACAAAATTAATTTATATTTTTATAATAAATATTCCCTTGTAGTTAGATCTTGTATTTAACCTTGCAACATTTTGGAAAATATGAGATACGATTTTCCAAAAGTATCTACTTACGCATATTAATATCGTAAATAATTTGAATATTATGGTCATTTTATCTAAAGTCAGTAAAATTATTTAAATTAGGTACCTAACCGATATCACGTTTGAATAATAAGTCAAATACGTTTACTTACGGAAACGTTGTTTTTGTTTATATAAAATATGGTTGGATATTTGTAAGGAAATAAATCGCCGAGTTTTTATATTTTCAAGAGCAATGCGTATCATATGGTACCATAATGTCACTGTAGGGGATGAAACTTCACCCCACATGAGTGTGTATATTAAAAATGTTAAGCTCCCTCAAAACATATTGCCATGTTACATCCACGAACAAATATACCATTTTCCAGCTTAGGATTTCAGATTTATGACAATAATTTTTATTAATACTGAGTTGTATATTGGACATAATCCGCAATATTAAATATATCAAAAAAAAAAAAAATATATTTATATATGTATATGTTTATACATGTATCGTAAAAATATTATGTATAAGAAGAAAAGAAAATATTAATATATTTATTTATAAATTATCCATCAGCAGAATTCAATTGTTTATTCACTATCCATAGTAAAAGTTCTTGTTATAAATTAATAAATTAAAGCTAAAATTAAATAACAGCTAATGCTAATTTATTTATTTATTCCATAAAACTAAAAGAGAAGTTATTCATATTTTTAAAATCAAAAAAAAAGTTATAAAATTCACTTTATCTATAGTAAATGCTTTTATAGCTTAAATACATTTTTTAATTAGATTTTTTAACTATATATGTACTTTAATTTGCTACAGAATAAGTTAACGAGACCTCAATTATCGATAGAACGATTTAAAATATTGATTGAAAAAATTATTATTCAATAATAAAATCTAATTATAAACAACAATTTATAAATGAAAATATTGAGAAGAATTTTTTTTTCGACCTTTTTTTATTTTTTATTACGACGGATAATTATTATGATTAATAGAGGCCGCATGATACCATCCGAACTGGAACGCCTAATATTGGAAAGGAAGTCCAAGGGCCACATACCGTTCTTCGTCACTGCCACTGCAGGCACAACTGTTCTTGGGGCTTTTGATCCCATCAATGCCATTGCTGATATTTGTGAAAAATACAATATGTGGCTTCACATCGACGCTGCCTGGGGTGGCGGATTACTTCTATCTCGCAAATACAGACATCCTCGTTTGGATGGCATTGAACGGTGAGTTATGCATTATGTCGATCTTTTAAAAACACAAAACACTTCATAAATATGGATCTATACTGATATGACCGACCAATAGTCACCCGTGATATCTCAGAGTTTGATTGACAATTTAAATATCAAATCAAGTCATTTTGAGAGTATTTTTTTTAATTCAGAAATACAGAAAGATTCCGTAAACAATATGCGTAAATGTATTAATTTTTTGTACGAATCCAACTATCTTAAACAGATCGCTTTTGGTTTTAACTCTTGAAATCCATATAATTGTGCAAATTATAATATATTATCTAAAAATGATAAAAATGAAAATCACCCTGTCATAAAACTCATTTGTATAATCGTCAGCTTAACGAATTTAATTTTCTTGATAATACTAATTAGCATTATAATTATCTTCCATTATAACTGATATTTGCAGGCTTTCAAGATTTTTTAAATTTTAAAACGATCAGTAAATACATTTTATACCCGTAAAAGTTTTTCTTAACATTTTAGTTATAATCGCACAAAAAGCAATTTATCATTCGCTCAATATTATACCTTTCGCGATGTAATTGTAGTTTACCATAGTTTTATTTTCTAAACCGTTCACTCGATTTTTTTTTTTCTTCGGAAGGTATAGGTACAAAACATTTGTAATCTATTTATTAAAATAGGTTTGTTTTCCTACTCGAAACTCGGCGGCGGTCAGTTCGGCGCGATAATTAGATTTCAGTTTTGATCCGGCACGTGTTGTGTGGGTGAATGACGATAAACGAAGCGGAGGCAAAAGGTTTTGTGTAAACACAGTGCAAACTGCACGATAAACGCATTCCCCAAGGACTCACTATCGTACAATTCAATATGTATGTGTCACTGTGCGGTGCACGTAGGCCGGTGTACGTGTGTATGTGCACAGAACTTCTACCGCTAATACCGTTACCGCACTCCGCTGCTACAGTACGTACACAACACCGCTTCGACGACGACACCCGCGTGCAGCCTGCAACAGTAACTCTCCTCATCGCCCGTCCCCGCCGTGTCCCTGCGAAGTGCTTAATTGAATTTTAATGTCCGTTCATTAATCAAACGTCTGCTCTACTCCGAACACCCTAACCCTACGATAAATAATATTACTTAAAAAAAAAAAAAAAATGGTTTCCATCCCCGGCCCAATCAATTTAACCTAATCCTTTCGCGTTTCTATTTCGCGCCTGTTTGATGCAGAACTTCACATCGTCATCCGCATTACATTGTTTGTATGTGTGTGTGAGTGTGTGTGTGTGTGTGAGAGAGAGAGAGAGAGAAACTTGCGACCCTAAATTATTTAATCTCCAATAATATTAAAGTGTACAAAAAATAATATAAAAAAAAGTCAGTTTTTAAGTACTATCTCACGATTTTTTCATAACCAGCAACATGCGTATGTTTAAAATATAAACGAAGCATAGCTGCGGTAAATCATTTTATTTTTTCCGTACAACTTATATGATTTGTAAAAGCCAAAAAATATGTAAAATTATGTTAACAGTGTAACTCAAGTTTAAATATATATGTCACCTGTAACAGGTTAGAATAGGTTGAAACAAATCAATGAAACTATTGACAAACGATGGTTTTTCGTAACTATTTATCAGAAAAAAATAAAAACAATCGCATTAGCGTAAACGCTAAATCCGTAGAGTTCAATGCGAAAAAAATATTTAATCAAAATCATGTTATTAACAATTGTAATATTCAGAATGCTTGTCCGTACTAGCAAGTTTATATTATATTCACGTATACTAAAGGTCACATAGATTTCCGTATAATTATGATTTGTATTTTTTCAATTTTCAATTACATGATTAACTATACATAAAATTAAATTAATATTAAAATCAACAATTTCACTTTGAATCGCTATGACTTACCACACTAATCTCTAAATATATCTAAATATTTTTAAAACGAATTTTCTATTTATAAAAAATAAGGTGAATGTTGAATGTTGTCCTATGCCGACGTTTATAAGCTAATTTTTTTTTTTTGTTTATAATCCCTATACGTATCGAAGTGACTTATCTAAATTTATATATATACAAATATATAATTTTAATAATAATTGTGTTAAGACATTGCGTATGAATTCGAGTGTTGTACAAAGGAGATTTTCGTATATGCCACGCAAAGGCTTGACGTATATAATATATATGTTTTTGGTTGTTGAGTCTCAGACCTTCAAAGTGAGTTTCGAGAGTGAGATATCTTTAACCTAGACCAAATCGTACTCTTTCTAACTGGATGCGAAAGTAAGTACAGAAAAGTCTTGTAACTTAACTAAAGTGTTTTCTCACCACAAACGTTCCAAGTACACACACTATAGATTTAATACTCCTAAAATATTAGAAAATAGAAATGAAACACAAGTATTTTGTTTAAAACAAAAACGGATTACAATAAACTTCAAATAAAAATCAAACCGTCAAAACTTGTCGTTAGCCGCGACACCCCACAACTGATCGATCACCTTTCCTGTTGCCTTATATTGGTTTTGAAAAGTAGATGCTGGGCATTTATTTATTTCTGCCTCGTATGGATTAATAGTTCATAGTTATACATTTTGTAAAAATTCATGTGTAAAGCATTATAACAAGATATATAAAAGGGATAATCAAAGAAGAGGATATATAATACGTATCGCTAGAGTTAAATCAAATAAAATAAATCAGTATGTACAATATGATAAATCATAACCGATAAAAATACCAGTATTTCGAACTTACAATGTATCTTATGCGATAATTTTAATTTAGAACTATTAAAACCACGGGCAAGTTCTTTCAATTTTTCCCTACGAATAATTTTAAACTTCCTAGCTTACATTTCCAAGATCTATTCACGATTACTAACTTAATTTAAATTAATTAAAATATTCATAGATAAAGTGTAATATAACTAATCTTAAATCTTTTGATCTTTTCTTTTTGAATTCGAACGGATATTGTAATTAAATTCTGAGTGAAACAAGGAATGTATTGATTTTACCATGTGTGTTTTTTTTCCATGTTTGTGTAAAATATTTCTACCAGAAAGATTGATTCGATCATCAACAAATAAAAAGTAAAATTAAATTTTACATTAAAAAAACTTCGTTTTCAACCAAAATTTGAACCACTGATAATCGTATATTATTTATTACGAACTATTTTTTTTTCGATAATCTTTAGTAATATAAGCTGATCCACCCGACGTCTTTCACTCAGAATCGTTTTTACAAGAGTAATGATACACTGGTTTCAAGTTTAAAAGACCAATACAGCAAAATCATTCATTTCTGCACCTCGTACGACCGTGGTGCCTCACTCGACGTCTAAGTATCACCCATTTTTGTAAAATATTCGTTTAGACCATTTTCAAATAATAGTAAGTTATTTTATCAAGTTCGTGGTACGCTCTTTAATATATTTTTGAAACTAAATTCGAAGTATCGGTTTCATATAAATAATGTGTTTGTTTGTAAATTAATTTCTTTAGCGAGTATTTTCAAATAGACATAAATATCATGGTCAAATATTTCGTAAACATAGTTATAAAAAAAAAGATTCATATAAATACGAGTCTAAATGTAAGAAACGTTAAGAATAATTTTAAAAAATACCATACAATGTCATAGAGGCAGTGAACTTAACTTTCGAGCCTCCGCGAAATGTACGATGAATGAAAATACTTCAAATAAATGACATTTATAAATGAAAATTGTCTATAAATTATTTACCATGTCTAAAATATACAAATGACGACAGTTGAAAAATGATTTAGCTTTTCGTTATAAAGTCGTTAATTTTTTATATTTTATTTTTTTCTACTCTAAGGGTTTATTAAAACGATCGAGTTATTAATAACAACAGAATGATATATTTCTAAATTATTTACAATAGTTGAAAATGCATTATTTAGAATAATGTAATAGAAGAATAACAATTAGTAGCAACTGCTAAAAAGTATTATGGAAATCATAAAGTTAAAAATAATAACGATTCCGTAGAACTATATTATTTAAAAAATAATTAATTTCAACTCAACCAGAAAATTTCACGTAAATATTAATACATTTTGTGAGTTACAATAATTATTTTTAATGATACCGATAAATATGCGACAGGACTAAATCAATGAAAAATATAAATAGTTATAAAGTTAGCTTACCACGTAATAATTTTAATCAATTTGTTGGTACCATTAGGATACTTAAGTATAAATAATTGCTTTTCAAAATGAAACATATGTTATTATTATACAATTATACAATTGTTAATATTCTTTAAAAAAAATATATAAGACGCTTAATTTTCTAAATTTCAGCAATACTCAGTTGTTAAATCCGCGTGTGCACTTTATTACGTACATTTTTCCGTATTTAGTTAGTTTTACCTCTCGGTCAAGCATTACATATTTTCCTTATGATACACCAGTGTGTTGGTGCACGGAAATGCTATGCAGATGAACGCGTTTATATCTAAGCGTATCTGCATCCCAAATGGAAATATTTTTTTTAAATTACAATTCATGAACTACAAAAACCGAGCGTGTTACCCAGCAGAGTAATAGTCAATGTTATTATAGGAGTTTAAACGAGTCTGGTTTCCCGCGGATGAGAAGGGCTCCGCGATGGAACGATAGCAAACGGGTGGAAGGCACGGGGGTAGGTAACCCACCCATGGCCAGAGAACATTACCGAGGCAAGAGCACCGCTGTTCAGTTTTACGCGCGGAAGGAGAGCGAATTAGCGTGGGGCCAAATCCGGGATTATCCGGAGCACCGCGAATGTCTGGCTTTAAACGCGGACTAAGCTCGTCCGCCTCACATTAATGTGTCCAAATCGTAAATATTCGACTGGGCTTAAGCCTCCCTACCATCCCTCGACAGTATCGCAAGTCTTTTATAGGTTTTCTTGTGCAGTTTTTTTTTTTTTTTCAATTTTTGTTTCGCGTCTTTATTTTTTTCTCGTTCCCGTCCGGAGCGATTTGTCATCATGCCAAACATTTTGTTTACCGACGAAATTAACCCCAATACAATTCTCCATCCCCTTCCCATTACTCCTCGCTCATACTTTTCCACAAAAACCCACTGTAATTACGCATTCCATTTAGCAATCATCCGCACTATATTTATAATATTATATTAAATCCCGTTTTATATATGATAATCATTGACAGAAATCTATAATGAACGTTGTAATAGTGTTATATATAAAAAAAAAAAAAAGGTATTGTAGTACAAAATAGTCTGTTAATTTGGTTTTTTGTAGAAATTATAACCTGTAAATAAATCAAAATACTTTGATCGATTATTCTTTAAATTTAAAACGATTCGATAGAAATTAATTTTTATAAAATTTTAAAAGCCAGAAATAAATTTTAAAATGCTTTAGAGAATGCATCATTATGTAATATAACATTTTTTCACCGTTAATATTTATTAATTTTGAATTGACTTGTGGAGGCTTCTTTTTGTTATAGTTTGTTTTTAAGGTTCTCTAAGGCACAGTAAAAAAAAAAAAACAGTTTGTACTTTTATGTTCATTTTAATTACATTTTGGATTACAATGAAAAAATATTTTTTGTTCTTTTTAATATTTATGACTATAAATATAAACATAATATAGTAATCATTTTTTCGTATAATTTCTGTATCGACCTTCGTCTCAGTAAAAATAATTTCCAATTCGTTAGTTTTATCGCTGGGTAATTAAAATCATTTGAAATTATTTATCGAATAAATGATAAAATATTTTTTTCGCGCCCTTTAATTAAATTTACACGCATGTCCGACTTAGGCATGATAAAATATCACCAATATCAAGCGTATACTACATTAGCGTGAATCTTATACATTATATATTATTTTAACTGTAAAAAAATGTTCGTAAATCATTTCGGATTCGTCTTCCTAAATGTAATTTTCGAGTAAAATTCAACGTACATTATGTTACATATAGATATTTTACCTGCAATGTGCCTTTAACACTATCTTTTCTACAAACAGGCAACAGGCAAGTAATGAGAAAATGATGGACAAATCCGACGCGAAATTATTGAAAACTATGCACATATTTACGTAATTCTAAAACTATATTATATTATTATTTTTTGGTTTTTTCAAGGGCCAAATCGGTGACTTGGAATCCGCACAAACTGATGGGTACCCTTCTCCAGTGTTCAACCATACACTTCCGGGACAATGTAAGTATAATAACAACATGTCGAACTCGTTGATGCTGTAATACCTATGTGCATTTTATATGGAATCGCAGTTAAAGCGAGATAACAACGGATTTAAGTACTTAATCAATGCGAAGCAGGTTTGATACATGTTATCGTAAAAAAAGTTAGTTTCCATACACATGTATCATGTGTATGTGCTAACCGATTCACTGCGGTTCGCCGAGTAACCAAATATTTTTTTTGTTAACACATAAAAGAATATAACTCATTTTCATTTTCATTTGGAGCTAGAAAAAAACATTCTACAGTCAATACAGGTGCAAATGGTAATTTAATTATCATACTTATATAATACATTATTATAAATAAATATAAAGTATTATACAATACTTTTTGGTACATTATAATACAAGTTTACAATACTTATCTACAAAAATTCAACCGTTCGACATTTGAAAAGCGCAACACGTCTGTGTTATTATCTTAATACAGGCGTGGCAGCTTAAGAAAAAATACCGCCGGAATTTAACTTTAATGTTTACTTACTCATCTTAAAGAATTTAATTGATTTAATATATTCTATGGTTAAAAAAAAAAATAACAATTGAATGAATAGTTTTAGATAACAGCTGTTACCAACAAAATACCAGTTCACATTTATATCACCCTACAAGCAGTATACATTATAAATTTTGAATACGATCTTCTCGGGTTCGCTGAGAAAAATTCATCCGACTAACGTTCACATTAATTTCCTATTGAACGGTTTAAACGGATCGAAAAACGGTCCGAATGTTTAATCACTTCGATTTACTGTACACGGACAGTTGTGATTACGTTAAGATTATAGGACCTAAAGTACAACGTATAATACATGTGATATAACATAAATGACATAATTCGAATTAAACCATGTGAGTTACAACGGAAGGATGGCTATTAAATTTAACCACTGTTCGAAGTTCGGCAAGGGCTTTAGACTGAACTTCAAACCGCGATGTAGTCAATTTTACAATTATTTTTTAACGACTGAAAGATTAAACTTCACGTCTGAAAATAAAGTTTTTGACGTGACTTTGTGGAGCTTATAGTTTTTATCACTTAATTATTATAGTTCTTTTTTCTCCGTTATTTCTATTGATTTAATGACGAATACGCTAAAACGATACGTCACACAAATTAGTAGCGTTCGTCAAATGATAGTGATTTGTAATGTCATAGTTTAATAAAATTCCAATTTCAACTGCAAAACATCACATACAAAACTTCTGAAGAAAGCTCGAAATCGTTGTTTTTAATCTAAAATACTTAATTATATTTCATCAATAGAATGCCCTCATATTAATATTGTAAGAATTGTTTTATATATTACGTTCATAAAATAACACGTACGAAATTATAAACCATTATTTTTTGGTGATATTTTAATATGGCTACCACTTTCAAAATCATAATTTGTATTCAAACCTAAATTAAGAGAACTATCAATTTATTTTTCTACTTAAAATTATTTAAAATTTTTTTCGTTGAAATTATATTTTAAGATCGTTATATCCTATGTTTAAAATAAAATTTGTTTATATTTTATTTACATAATGCAAAATTTGAAGTGATTTTTATAGAAATATTAACACCAATATTCTGCTTTCTCTAGCAAAATGATCACAACTTAAAGGTTTTTTTCTTTCTACAGCATCTAACGAATTTGATATACATTGTCTGTACATTTTTCATAAACTGATAAAATACATTTTTCACTATTTAGAAATACTACTAACAACAAACATAAATGCTTACTAATGTACTAATAAAAAATCTCAGAACCATAATATTTATTATATTTATATTTATTATAGATATAATATACACGAACAAATAATAATTATAGTAAAAATAAATATAATTTAATAAAATATACATAATTATACCTACAATAAAAATAACGTGAATTATATTACACATATTTTGCTATTTGTTGAATCATATTTTGCGCCAAAGACCAAAAATAAAAATAAATTATTTGTTTTATATAAAAACTGATAAATCTGATCACATGATTATATAAAAAAATAATATTTTGATCGTGTAGCTTTTAAATGAGGTATAATAATATTTCTTACCATTGTGTTTTTTTAATTTTTATAAATCAATAATAAAATTAGAAGCATCATGTAATATTTTTTCTAACTATTTTTATTTAAATGCCATACAGTTAATTAAAAAAAAAAAAAATCGATTAAATTAAAAAGCCCACGAAAAATAAAATGGTTTATTTAGTGTGATGATTACTCGTATATCAAAAGAGATGAAAAGTTCACGAAAAACCTCATAATACATTATTTTAACAGTTTTGAATGAATATGAAGAAATCGAATTTTTTTCCATTGTATACGATTATGTAGTGTGTAACGGGATGAGTTTCCATGATTACAACGTTTTAAATCTCCCTGTAGCGACAATAAACCAAAAATCAAATATGTCCTTAAATTTTGAATTCAGTTATATCTAGTTCACATTAATTTGAATAGCCTTAAATATAATCCGATAAACATCACGTTGGAATAATGTATGGCTGTTAGACTTAAAACCTTTCAAAATGTTATTCTACAGAAGGCATTATGATAATTCGTCTTCGGCAAGACGTGAGTAATGTCAACAAGAGTTTTTAACATAGTACATCAGTGTTTATCGTGCATCATGTATTTATGTATTCGCGGTGCATAAGCTTTCGCGACCTTTGTCATCCGTAGAGTTTCCTCTTATATTTCGCGATTTACACCATGTCAAGTATGAAACGAGGATGCATCGCGTAAACTACCCCGTACACAACAGCGAGCCGTTGAAAAAACATAAATCTACAGAAACGCGTTCCGTCCCCGAACTTGTACTATAATCCGGGAAACGTAAGTCAATCCGTAACCACCGTAAATGAAAGAAAACAGTGAATAAAATAAAAAATATTTTTCGGCAGAAGTTTGTTGGCGAAAAAAAAAAATGTTAGATCCATACGGTTTACGGTCGGAGATAACGTACGCCGCTCGCGGCGTCTCAAGTTCGGATACTCGCGTACTAGACGTTATCGATGTCGTCGAACTTTTAAGATAAATCCGACGGGAACGGATGAAAAAAACCCGTATCGTGCCGAAATAATGTTTTGGATAATGTTTTAATGGTCAAATCCAATCGTTTCAGGGACTGTTGATCAGCTGCAACCAGATGAGCGCGGAGTACTTGTTTATGCAGGACAAACTGTACGACGTGCAGTACGATACGGGCGACAAAGTAATACAATGCGGCCGTCACAACGATGTGTTTAAGCTTTGGCTACAATGGCGCGCAAAGGTGAGTGGTCGTGTGTGCAAACGATCTCGCGAATCTGTACGGACGACCATGACGTGCCGGATCCGCATAATATTAATTTTAAGATGTCCCGGTGTGTGGGCAAACATCACTATGAATCACTGTCCCCGTGTCGCAATCATTGTCGCGACGCCATCAAATATTTAACGTTCTCCGTGCTTGCGTTCAACCCTGGTTTCGCCGTCGTCCACGCGCTTTCCACTCTTCCCTGTTTCCAACTCCGTGTAGCTTGAAAGTCCAACGTCGGAGATCCGCTCGACAAACGAAGTTCTCGGACGTCCTTGGACGAGCTCAGTCTCTCTGTAATTTTCCCTTCTACTATTCTAAAAACCGGTTCCTTTTCGCGCCTCTCAATACTCAGGCACGTAGCCAGGGGAAGATATAGTAACTTCCTCCCCCCCTTTAACCGTGTTACACTGAAGTTATATAGAGGTAAAAATTCAACATAAACCGTGATGAAAACATATTTATCGTAACGAAATATATACATAACAATAATGTCAAGCCGGGATCCGGCTCTTCGTTACACCGTTCTGTCTAATAAACCAAAGCCGCGGTTTTATGTCGCATCATGCGCGATATAAAATAGGTGCATATCAGTGGCGTGCGGTGGTAAAACATTGTGGGCAAGCGCTATAATAAGCATACCTACCTACCTACCTAAAATCAGGGGCGTATTTAGACTTACTTATAGATGGGGGGGGGGGGGGGTTGCGAATCAAATTTTTTCTTTAATTCAGACTCAAAATGTACAAGTAAAATTTTTGGTAACATTTAAATCAAGTGAATCCTTAACATTTTTGGTTTTTTGATTCTGATTTGGGTTTTTCGATAAGAATTAATAACAATGAAAGCATCCACCGATGGCCGATTCTACCGACTACCATGGAATATGCCATAGTCAAGAACGCGCTGATATAATGTGACAGTAATAGTGGCTAATCAAATCCTGTCAGAAGTGTTTTGCCGAGCGCTATGGAGGACCATGTAAAATTGTCGTAACCTCCCCTCCCATCTACCACACCTAGTCGTTCTAATACTACAACATAGGTCGAGTTTGGAAAAAACTGAGAGCTTACTTATGTATATTAAGTTGTCTATACAATAAAAAATTTTCTTAATTTTTTTTTACAAATTATATTATTGTTTGTATTTATTGTATTTGTAAATTCTTCTGATTAAATCATTAGCAATGAAATTTTATATTATTAAAAATAACCAATTAGTCCTCTTTTATTTTCCCTTTCTTTTTACTTTTATCTGAACATGCGCCGCTTACCTCGCTTGCCCTGACTGCACGCCACTAGTACATATGACAAAAATGTACGTTTGAAATGTTAATAAAATATTTAAATACTTTACCGTACAATAGTACATTGCACATGAATAAATATTCAATGTACTGATGTATTTGTATGCTTGTGCAATAAAGTATGCGTAAAGTAATTATTTTGTCGTGTAAAATTTTGAATAACACCCCCCTTTTGAAATACCTAGCTACGCGCCTGTCAATACGTGACCAATCGTGTTCCATTGCTTTTTATGGTTTTGTGTCCCTCCCCACGTTCGTTTATTTTATCGTAAGTATGCTTTCGTTGGTACAGTTTATTTACAATTCAACTCACTCGTAGCATCCTTTTCCAACACCACATTTCACAGCTTTCGATGATTCGTTATTCTACATACTTGACGTTCAGCGTAACATTATAACGACTCACTCCTTCCCCCCCCCCCTTCGTTACTGGTACCCTTATACAGATCCGGCACTGCGTATGATATTATGTTATTAAAATAAACCGTACCTGTATGTTTTATCTTTTTTCCGGCCGAACGCGGCCACTGTTATTTTTTTCTGTACTCCGCCGTAATGTATGTACAGGGCACCGAAGGATTCGAAAAACACATGGATCATCTGATGGAACTGAGTGAATACATGGTGGAAAAGATCAAGGAGTCACCGGACAAGTTTTATTTGCTACTCGAACCGGAAATGGTCAACGTCAGCTTTTGGTACGTGCCGAAGCGTCTGCGAAATATCCCGCATTCGCCTAAACGAGCACAACTTCTCGGAGAGGTAAGACTGTGTTACCAATGCTTAACATGTTAACCGCAAATAGAATAATTATGAATAATCATTTTTAGATACACTTTAGATAATCGAGCGTTTTCGAATGAATTTAACAACACTTTTAACAACAATTTAACAAACTTCATTAATAAATTATTTCATACAGAATTAAGAATGCGAAAGAATGTATGAGAATTTCTACGTAAAAACATTATAATTCAAAATATTAGCAATCGTTTTATATAATTATTAAAACAATTTATTTATTTTAAAATATATTTATTCATACTCTACACGAAATAAATAGTTCAAGGTACTTACAATGTAATTCAAATGTATTGAACCATACATAACATAATATTACGTTTCCATATACTTACATATTATAAACACACAGATTCTAAACATGTTCCCCTTTTATTGTTTTTACTGTTCAAACAGTAATTCGGATAAGCAAATTTTAACATAAAATAACAACCTGCTGAATCCCTTATCAAAATCACCCTTCTATAACACCCCAAATATTATAATTCCACCACAGTTTGTGGATTTATTAAATGTCATTACGAAATTATACAATGAGTTTTTCTATTTTATTATTGTTTGTCTTTCATCACTGGTATATAAGATAAAATTATAATTCAAAACACTTATCAGTAAAGACCTTTTCATTTCCTTTATTATTCTAAATTATAACTAGATAAATATTTTTGCAGATAGTATAATACTTTTATTATTATTGAAGTGTGAAACGATACAAGTATTTATAAAATGTTAAAATGTTGTGAAATTAATAATAATTATTTTATTTTATATTAAATAAATAATTGCACAAATTAATAATTATATAGAAATCACATAGTACATAAACCATCAGCAATATGTAAACTCTTACCATAATAACCAGAAATACCGAGTGTTTAAAATAACTAATTTATGGTACCTATTTGCGGAAAATATTTGCGTGATAATACGAAAGACAATAATAAATAGTTTGCATTAGAACTCATGTTTTACGTCGTTATTCGTGTACCGATGAAAAAAATTATAATAATAAACGTAAAAACAAACGCGAGGCATGATTGGCGTTTACGAGTATGGTTCTGAATAACCTAACACTTTGCATTCCGTGTTACAGATCACGCCGATACTGAAGGGCAAAATGATGGAAGTCGGCACACTAATGGTCGGCTATCAGCCGTTGAATGAAATACCGAACTTCTTCCGAAACATCATATCCAGCGCCGCGGTCACCAAGGGCGACGTGGACTTCTTACTGTCCGAACTGGACCGTTTGGGACGGGACCTTTAAGCCAGAAGTGGAAAGAAACGCATAATAAAATAAATACATTTTTAAAAAAATAACGTTAGTCTCGAGATAGATCCTAATTCCAAACACTACCCCATCCCTTTTATCGTTTCACATCGCACGCACAATATCTGCGACGGGATAATAATATGTTACGATATCGTCTTCGCGTGTATTATCATTTAACTGCACAATATAACTGAATCGATGATTGCAGAAACGTCACGAGTCACATATTTTTGAAAATAAGATATTACTTACCGTAAAAACGTATACTACAGTCATATATTTCTATGCGTTGACTGTAAAAAAACACAGATTATTATTATTTATTTATCTGATAAAAAAACAATAACTAAAGACGTTTTTATCAATATGTCAATTTCATAAGATATACGACTCATGACGTATCTTCAATCATCGATTCATCTGTATCGCTGGTCGTTTATACTTAACATCAAGTTCGTAAATCCAAACACATCGTATGTTATACGAACTTGGAACTGAAGTCACATGTTACCCCGTCCCGGCCACATATTATATCGTGCTGTTCAATTGTTATTGCTGACGTTTAGTAATCGTTGTGTTAGTTTTTTGTTGTATTATTTGTTGTTGTTGTTATTGTTGTTGTTGTTTGTTGTTGCGTTCGTGATAAATCGTCGGATAACACGTGCATCGCACGCGCTTTAAACACATATATTGTGCGTTCAACGGACTCGATGTTATTACTCGTCGAACCCCGTAGAGGCGTGTAACTTAAACATAGAACTCCGCACACTCGTCAACTCCCGGACATACTCGCCAGACCTGCCCACCCTCGTTCGATGTACCCACGTACTATGTTACTGCACAGAACTCTACTTCACACGTGTCTATTCCATAACGTATGTTCATCCCGCACTTTCGAATCGCTATCAAATGTTCAAGTCAAGCTCAATTAGTTCGTAAACCACATTAAACCGCTTTCGCTCGATCTGCTTGTGGACTGCCTACTCGAATATTTTTACCTATTCGTATTATCGTTGTACGTAGATGTGCGGTAGCGTATAGAAACTAAAATAATTAATATTACGCGTACCGATAACATATTATCGTTACGTTTCATTACGTCGTGGATCAAAATTAATAGAGATGTAAGCGATTCGAAACGAAAAATCGTCAACACTTTTTCATCTCACCACTCGACCACAGTACATGGATAAAGATACATCTTGCCCGTGAAACACATAACCGCGGTATTGTTCGTTGATCTTATTATTTTTTTTTTTTTTTTCAAGACCTTTGAGACCAACTTATCATGGATAAAATCTTCCTTCGATCGTTTTTCTTTTCGATATACGTTTACGTCTCAAACACAATGTTGATCCGTTTGCATGCATTTAAAATCGTTAATATTTTTTATCACGGAGTGTTTATTTCACTTTGATCTTAAATTGTTCGTACACTTAAAATTTTCTATTTTTTAAACACACTATTTTGCACTTGTATTCGCACACATTGCACCACGTTTTTATCATTGCACAACTATTTGCACTATTGCACTTAAAACTATGCACTTTTATGTATTTTGAAACTTTTTACTATTCAACTTACGTGTATATATGTATGTATATAATATATAATCGTGAACTTTTTCATTGACAGAAAAGTGAAACAAATCCCTGATGCGACCGCATTACTGCAAATTTACCGTCATCATTGATATTCTTAAATTGGTTTCACACTTTCCTCCAATATTTATTCACTCAGTCCTTGCCCATGAATATTATATAACACATACATATAAACATATTATTATATCAAATTCTTATACATACATATATATATATATATATACATATAAATTATAATATTTTACATTTTTAATTGCACCTTCAATTTTTCTATTGCACTTTACACTTTTTTCGCATTTACTACACTTCAGTGACGTAACTTGGAAATTCAGAGTCTGTGGTCGCACACTGGTTCGGCTTTAAAAGTTTCGTCACTGACTATATAACATTTATACATTTAAATATTGCACGTTTTTCTTAAAATTGTCAAAAATATTCAGTAGGCATGCCCACTCGATTAATAACATCATAGTTTATTGAGCAATGCGAAAACATATTTTCACTATCGCCCATGCGATCCCACGGTCTGTCCGGGTATCTACAATATACATATTCTAATATGATTTCTGTTGTATCCATCATACCGCTGTTTACAATACCTACTGTCAATCAATCTTGTAAGACTTTCGCTTTCATCGGACCCCTTTTGTTGGATCCTATTCAATCGGTTTCCTATTCACCGTGCGATTTCCAAGTCATTCATCATAATATCGCTCAAGTGCGCGAAAAACACTCGGTCGATGTTTACCCCCGCGCCACGCGAGTACTTCAAATCAAATTAATATATTCATAAGTTTTGTGAATTTTTCTTCGTGTTTCTTCAGTTAAGTCTGAGTTCGACAAGTCGCACGCATATCGTATCGGTTTTTCAGACAAATAACATATTTTGACTCGTCCATCACGTTACCTTAGTTGAACGTGCCGTATACACGAGCTTTGAGCACACAATTCAAACGTAAAACACTATAAATTAATGAAGTAACATTTTTTAATGGAAATGTAACATCAACTCTCCTCCCCACACAACTGCAAGGCAAATTTTGATCTTTTTGTTGCGTTTTTTCGATAACGCGACCATTCATATGTTTAGTTCAGACGTGTTGAAGCGTATTAAATAAACAACAATATTTAGTTTCGTTTTATTTATCTCTAAGTCATGGTATGTTTTAAGTACCTACTTTTAATAAATGTGTAATAGTTATCATATATTAATCAATATAGTGTTACGTGATATTTATAACCGAAATTTCCGTTTCTCCAGCCTTGGATAAAAATGTTTTTTATGTATATATATAAATATATACTCAACATTATAACCAATAATTACAATTATTATAATCTCCTACCAAATATATTTCATATTATAATGTTGATAATATTACTATGATATTATTCAACTATTTTAATAAAAGTCAATTTAAAAGTATGATGAACTTCGTCATTTATCGAGAAGTATACTATTTCAACAGAAGTATTTACATTAAAATTATAATAAATTTATATGTTAATAATAATGTGGTATTATTATACCATTAATATCATACAGTTTATTTTATTATTACACGTTTTTGCGTTTATCACGTGTTAAAAACGACGTGACGTGAACACAACAATAATTCACAATATGCCTGTATATCTACCCTGTTTTAAGTACAGTGAAACCTCGATAAGTCGAAGTTCAAGGGAATTGTATTTTTTTTTTATATTTATCGAGGTTTTCGAGTTACCAAGGTTTAGGAAAAATTTTGACTATTTAAAATGTTTTATAGTATATACATATAATTACAGTATGTATTATTATTATTAATTTAAAATAACTACCAAAAAAATATAAAAAATATGTACTGAGTGTTACAACTCTACTGTAGATAATTTGTTAACTTAATTTAATTTAGAATTTGAGAGCAGATTGTTCGAGTTTCTATAATTTTTCTTTCAAATAATCGAAGTTTTCACTAGGAAACTACATTTATTTCGACTTATCGAGGTTCGGCTTATTGAAGTTTACTGTATATAAATGCGATGTTAACATTACATAAATCACGTAGAATTATAAAATTATAGTAAAAAAAATTAAGAAACAGAGCATTTAACTAGACGTGTTATATATTTATTTTCGATTCCATATAGTTGTGATAATTATTTATAATAGAATATATACGATAAATATAATATACTACAATACACACACAGTGCTAACATTTATAGATATATAGATATAATCTAAATAATATAATATGTATACTTAATGTTAAAGTTTTGAAAACTGAACGTGTTGAATATTATTAATAATTATTTTATTGTTGATGTTACCTGTATGTAATATTATGATAATATATAAAAGTTTAAAATATCACATACTATCCCTTATACGTACACGTTGCCATATAGGCTATTTTAAAAAATAGTATTTTAATAAATATATATATATATATTGTTATGTACCCCTGTGTATACTAAACACGTGTATTTGTTCGTTAGAGTTTTTTTTTCGACTTTATTTTGATTATTTACCATTGAATTTTACCTCGATACATATTATCATGTTATTAGATACTTTATTATACTGCTGTGTTACCTATTCTGTTACCTCACTATTAATTATTACGCTAACCGGTGACATGCTAAGGTTAAATAGAGATTATTTTAGTATACTTCTAGCGATATTATTACTCTCAGTATAAAATCCTTGTAACTATTATATTGTCATGTTATCCATTTATGCACACATATAAAAATATATTCACTCAAAACGTTTATTCGTTAATAAAATTATTTTAAATCAACATAGTGTTTGTTTATTAATTTGTTTTTTATTTTGTTTTTAATGTACCCAGATACTATATATCGTACCCATGCTTTATGCGATACGTTCGGTAATAATTACCGAACGTATTATTATAACGTATTTATTACGTACAATTATTGTAGACGTTTATAAATGTGATATAACTCCAGAAAGGAAAATCTATGGGTTATTCCTTATGATAAATAAGTTATTGGGACTGATTATCCCAATGGTTCCACGAGATATGTGAAAAAAACACGGAAAAATTAACTTTGCTATAGTATGTAGATAGTTAAAAATATTATAGTCGATATTACCATAACCAGGGCTGCAAATAGAGCATTTTCTCCAAGTGGCTAATTTTGAAGGCGGCAAAATTTAGGTACACAACCATTCTTATAAATTACAATATGTTAAAATATTTTTTTAACAGTTCAGTTACTATGGACATTTTTAAAAATAATTTGTAAATTGAAATTGAAAATTATGTTAAATAATTTTTATTTCTCAATTCTACTTATAATGGAATCAAATGTGAATAATTGTCGTTATAATAGTTATCGTCTACTATCCTAATTCTTAAAATAAATATTGAAAAATGGAATCGAATATCGTACGGTGGATAATAACACATACACTAGAAAGGAACCCACATGTTGATGTTAAGTAACGTATTATACGATGTCTTATAAATTTCGATTACAATAATTCATAGAAGTAGCCTATCACTTACATAGGTATAAGCATTGATTTAATATACCAGTAAAGGTACGTTTTCCTAAGCGCGACATGGCTTCGCAACCGACGACCAAGACTAGTCGTCCCGACGCATTTTTTCCGATGTGTTTTATTAGACGCGATATGTCGCTACGATTTTGGTAGTTATATTCTCATTCGCTTGCAAACCTGTTCAAGTACAGATGTGTTCAGGTGTAACGTGTAGTTAATACAAATAATTTTAGTTAATATAGTTTTATTTAAATTATTATGGATCCATTTATTGAAATATGCATTAATAATAATGATATTTTGACATTGTTATTGGATGAAGAAGATAAAGAAGATTTTATATTTTTCATCTAAAGTCAAAAAGAAAAAAACATATATGTTTAATATGTTAAATATCGTAATACTGAACGTTTTTACAAAATATTAATTAATAAACATTTAAAAAATAATAACAATCTTAGAAAAGGATATCTGGAGAAAAATAAAAATTAATTTTATGAATATGAACGGAAAAAGCATCTCCTATTAACTATATTATTTCATTTTTGTTATTGTTTCAATAGTCATTGTGATATGTCGCGGCGACTTGTCACGCAATACTACTCTCGGAGTAGTAGTGTCGTCGGTCGCGGCGACCTGTCGCGTCTTGCAATACAGTTGATACTATTTTCGTGTAAATAGGTATTAACGACATGTCGCGCCTTGGAAAACGTACCTTAATAGTAGTAATTATTATATTTTATTATATTTAATCAATAGTATAAGTGTATAACAAAATATAATCGTGTTTTTGATCGAATAACTACAATTTAAGGTCTACCATGTCTCAAAATCGGTTCAATGAATTAGGTATACTTAATTTAGAAAAATATATTGTAGACGCTGAGGATATTTTAAAAAAAATTTCTAAAACAGAAAAAATAATAAAACTAATGTAATTTATTTTTTAATAATTTTTTGTGATTAAAACATACATATTTAAGTATTGTAAATTGATGATTTTTATTAGTATTTTTGATTGGTACATTTAATCTGAGCGTAGAGAAAAAAATTTGATTGTAATATAAGTGTCAATAAAGTGCTCAATATAAACCTGAGTTTCAGCCCCCCCCCCCCTAATCTCAAATACTATTTGCGTCTATGCCCTTGGGTCACACACACAAATTAAAAATGGTTCTAGGGCTAGACAAAACAAATAATTAATATGATATTCAACGACATTTTCTAGTTTTGGAATTTACTGCGGTCCGTATAAAGGTTGTCGCACACTAGATCGGAACGGAACGGAACCGTCCGATCGGATCGAAACGGAAAAAATGAATAAACATAATTTTAAATGAGGTCCCGCGCACTGGATCGGATCGGATCGGAAACGTCGCGTCAGATCGTCTAACGCATGTGCACTGATACTTCACGTCAGGGCAAAATATACGTGCTAACTTTTGGTCATGATCGTTTTGTACTTAGAATTTATATGTTCTAACAACTGGCAATCGACAATATTTTGACGGATTCCGAAGCATTCTGAAAGCAAACGCATGCGCACTGACACTTTTGGTCATTATTGTTTTGTACTTTTCAGTTGTGTACACAACGAAAACTGAAAGTCGACAACAATAACCTTTTTCATTTTAAACATTTTTAATATTTTTTCGATTCAAATAACTTTGACACAAACAATTATGTCAACAAATATGTCAGATGAAAAACTTATATGTGAAGTACAGAAATATTCATATTTATATGACATTGGTCATAAATACTACTACTGCTCCGTCATGTTTTTTGAAATTTCAGAGACCCTAAACGAAGAAGGTAAATTTTTTATGATTAATTTACATATAAATTATAACATATCATGTCTTCTCCGTCACTACTTGTATCACTCATTATAATATTATATTTTATAAAAACTCAAAAATATTAGAAATAAATAATGTAGCAATAAGCTTTAGTTCGACCGTCGAGCTTGAGCGATGAGATCAAAATAACCAAGTATATATGGTCGCGGAATTCCGACTGGTTCCGATACAGTGCGCGGATAAAATTCGTTTCTGTTCCGATGCGTTCCGATGTTAAAAATTCGTTTCCGTTCCGTTCCGATCTAGTGTGCGGCAACCTTAAAAGAGACGTTAGTTGCCGACCATTGTTCTAACTCAATTAAAATTAAATATATAAACGTATTTAAATCAAATCATTTTTTATGCTGTAAAATTAATTTAAATAGATAGTTCACTATAACAATATTATAGATAAGATATATTATGCATAAACTAGATTTATTTAAAGTATAACATTAAATCTGAAAATGTTCAAATGTACTTGTGTGTATATTTTTTTTTTTGAATTACGAAGATACATTTTCAGTTAAACAATAATTTGATTAGGTACCTACTTATAAAGTTCCGTTGAGGCCGTTTAAAATTATTTTGCTTGGGCCGAGTTATAGAGCTAATCCAACCCTGACCGTAGAAACCCTTTTCGTTAAATATGCAATTATATATTTGCCCCACCCATTAATAAATTTCTAAGTTACACCCAAGATTATTGTTAATCACATTATTTGAAATTCGTACTAAAAATATTTTTATCTCATTTGTAATAATTATAATACAATTATTGTATTCGTCTCGAGAAATTATCATATTATTGCTAGGTAATTTAAAAATCTAACATTTCATGGTGAAATAATTTTAATATCAACAAAAACAAATTATTTTTAAAATATTTTTGTAAATTACAAGTTTTTAAACTTTCAAACATCTTAAATTAAATTTTTATAATGGAGTACGAACGAGTGAAAATGATGAATGATGAGCGTTGGACAAATGCTAGAAAATGTGAAATTATGAAAACTTTTACGGATTTATTGGTAGTACAAGATAACAATCATCAAGAAGGGTTAGATGTAATTGTAGATGAAGAAAAGCAATATCTTCAGGATTTGAAATCAAAAGTTAAAAAAAATCGCCTCTTAATGAATGAAGGAATGAATGATTTTAAAGATAAAATGTTATCAAAAACTAACAGGATTTTATTGGAAAGATACAGACATACACATCCAGATGAAATTAAATCAAGTATGAAACGTTCTATAAATCAAACCAAAAACGAAGCAAACATTTTAATAACACAAATCAATCAAAAAAAAAATGAAATTCGAGAGTTGAACAACGCGTACGAGTTTCGACATAAAGACACCATTAGTTATGGTAATTTTAAAAAAATTATGAGGAATGTAACTAATATCGATGACAGAATAAGATTAGCTAAATTTAAAAAAACGAAAATGGAGAAAATGGTAGATAGAGCGCAACAAAATTTAAATAAGTTTGATTCACTTTTGGAACAATTGCACAATGACAAGAAAGAAATGGCAACAAATATAATGAAGCAAACTAAAATAGTAGTACAGTTAAAGATGGAAACAAACAAATATACTCAACAACTAAAAAATGAGATTTTAGCAAGCCAAAAACAGCGCATTAAACAAGTGGGTAAAATTGAACAGCTTAATTTTATGTCGGATTCCATGGATCGTAGCAGGTAAATTGCATAAAACATAATAATAAAACCTATCAACATATTAAACTTGACATTAAATCGAAAACATAACGTAATCTTAAGACATTTTGTTAAAAAGAAATTATTTTTCATTAAAAAAAAAAAACAGGATTTTATTACATGAATTAATAATACTTAATAGAAAATATTATAATAATTAATAATGTTAATAATATTGTAGAGTTAAAATAAAATTAGGTATGTAATTTGAAAATGTAGCAATATATGTGAAGTAGGTTTGTAAACGTGTATTATTATTTATATTTACATAACATAATATGCGTATATATATATACCAAAATAATATATTTTTATAATTATTCTCTGTAAAATTTAAATAATTACCTGATATCATGCTGATTTTTTTTTTTTCATTCGATTTATGGTCCTCAAACTTATTTTATTAAAAATTAATTAATGATATTAATTAAAGACACTTTTCACAAATTTGGAATAATTCTGTCATGTACGCAATGCTTATTCAATGATCTTATACTAACGATACAAAATTAGTTTGTTAAATAGAAAAATGACAATAATTTTGAAATCTTATATTACGTATAAAGTTAAATATATTTCAATTTTAGATTCTCAATGAAGTGAAAAATCTGTTTTTACAACAACGAATTTAATTACTTTGCTATAAAAACATTTTAAGCGTAAAGGCCTAAAATATAAACTAGATACTTATATTTGCATAGTATACATGTTACAATAATAATAATAATGTGATAATTAAATAATTAATTTAAAGTACAAAGGTTATGCTTGATTGTGATTTTTTTTCTTTTATATAAGAGATCAACCAACTTGTTTACAAAACTATTATGTACTTAAACATTTATACATTTATTATAAATATATAATTATTTATATTTATTTATTTTTTCTTTCTTTCTTTCTTTTTGGTTAAACGGCCGCTAGGACCATCCCGTCTCACAACCAATTCTCCAGCCATCTCTATTCATCGCCAAATTCTTCCAATTTACTCCGCCTCCTAAGTCTTCTACATTTTTCTTAACTATATCTTCCCATCTCAATTTTGATCTTCTCAAGGTCTTCCCCAATTTATTATATATATATATAATAGTCATATAGTTATACTAACCATCTTTTCACAAAAATATGCTGATCCCTCTTCGCTTACAGAATCATTTTTTCATTGATTTCAAATCCATAACAATTCTTGTATTTCAATTATCCGTCCCTATATTTCACCCGATACCCGATATTTCACCCAGTACCGGTGCTAGGTATTTAGTCGCCCTGTGCCAATTTGTAGAAATTCTGCCCTAATACAACTAATATTTGTTCATACAAAAAAAAGCAAGGGCTTCTCATCTATTAGAGAACTATTCAGGTCTCGTTAAAGTTGTAATTACTTTAATCATGGTGAGATGAATTCGATAGAGAAATAATTTAAATAATAACATAAAACGGATGTATAAATATGACGGATGACTAGCGAGATTATATATCAAATTTTGTTGCTTTAGGACAGAGGTCGGGAACCTGTGGTTCCTTAACATGCAATCTGTAGCTTTTTGGAAAATATAAATTGAAATTTGTAAAGTATATTGATAGATTTTTGTACTAAAGTTTTTTAATACGGTATCCATTACATATCTAGTTATAGTTTTATTAGATTAGGTTCGACTAAAAAAAAAAAAAAAAAAAAGTTGTTCACAAACCTGTACGGCTCTCTAGACATTATGGTTTTGTAACTTTTTTAAAAAAAGGACTGTTTCCTCCGAAAAGTTTACTGACCCCTGCCTAGGGCGTCATTGTTAGTAAGAACCAACAGGTGATAACTCTATAAATGTGGATGGTACATCGTAAATGTGTACTGTTGTCTATGGTTAGGACGGTACTACCTACTACATAAGATATTATGTTTGAACTCTTCATGATACAGACACAAATATTATACACTGATAAAACTAGAATGTTTTAGAGAATTGGTATTTTAAGAAATTATTCTTCAAAATATTCGATTATACGATATTCCAATAGTTGACTATTTATTTATGCAGTGAAAAATTCAAATTTTGCCTTCCACCCGCCCTGCAATATCTCATCCTTCTTTAAAGTTAATTTCTAACCAGTAACCAATAATTATACATCTAAAATCATGTAAAAATATTCTGAAAATTGCATTTTTAATATATTTATACAAATGTTTTATCGTGTACTCACTGTTTAATTAGAAATTTTCTTAAATTATATTTTATATAGAAAAATGCTAATGGTTGAAAGGCCACCCACTGAATTTGAATTAGCGTTTCAATCATCACTTCCATGGTCTACAGAGGATTCAACTCCCGATTCAAAAATTAATAATATGGTTTCAAATTTATCAGATGAGAATAATGATTGGTATAATAAAATATCAACACTTGGAGTAAACTATTTGATTGATAAAGATGAACAAAATAAAAAATTGACAATGTTAGAAAATGAAAATAACATTTCAACAAATAAATATAAGTTTCCTGCGGATATCAAAGATTATATATTATATTATAATGATATTTCACAAAATAACGATGATGTAGCTCTTAACTATTTGCGAAAAAATTTAAAATTTAACACTATAGAAGATTTAATACATTTCATTGAGCGTACTAAGCATGATTTATTTAAACTGAATGCATTTAAATCCATAAGAACAACTTTATGGAAATTAATAATCAAAGAAAATGATCATCTTCAAGAAGCGACAGAAAATTGTAAGCTTATGACAAACAAAGATACAGAGTTTTTTAAACAAGAAAAATATTTAAATCATATAATTGATGGGCAACGTAAAAAAATATCTGAACTTGAGGAATCAAAATGCTATTACATTAAACGGTTTAATGATATATGTTTTCACATGGACAATCTCAGAAGTATTCTTCAATCAGTTAATGTAAATGTGTTTCGTTCAATATTTATGATTTCAATATATAAAATTGTTACTTTTTTAGTTTTCAGATTCAAATATAAAGTCTGAGCATAATATACAAAAAAAAAAGTTTGAAATTCCTGATATTAAATTGACAGAATTAATTGAGGAAGCAGATACGTTAATTAGCGAAATTGATATGAAAGTTCGACGTTGTACTGCAATGTTTTTTACTAATTATACTGCTGAACAAATTAACATAGCTCGCGCCGTGTATATATATAAAGTCCAAGAACACATTCAAGAAAATGTTTTAAGAGAACAAATGCAATTAAAGAAGAAAAAATTAAAAAATGCCAAAGAAATTCCAATGCCACCAAAAGTTATTTTAAGCAGAGAAGAAACCAAAAAACGAGCCGATCGAGTGTTAAAATTTATGGCAGAAAAAGATACGGACAAATCAAAAAACAAAAGAAAGCCTATATCTTTTAGGACAAAAAAATCATAATCGACTAGTAGGAATAGGATGAAATAGCCGACTCTACAACCACCACCATCAGCACAGCCACCGAGCTTACCGTGACCCTCAACCACCACTACTGCCACTGAGTCCATCTCCACCTCCATGGAGGGTCATAATGGGCTCAGTAGCGTCAGTGGCGGTGGAAGGTTGTGAGAGGTTTGCTCAATGGGGACGGTGGTGGTGGTAGTTCAAGAATCAACTATTTCATCCTTATTTTTTAAATAAAAGAAAATATATATTAATATCATGTGTTTTTATTTTACACTTTTTTAATTATTTACATAAATTTTGATTTTTTTGTGCTTCATTAATCCTCCTTCATGAGTGTACTCGAGTGTTGTCGAAATGTTTTGGCCCATCATTAACATCGCAAGCGTGCTCTGGTGTTGAAATGGGTGAATAGCTTAGTAAATAACTTATACTAAAATTAGAACCACATATGTCTCTGGTGAGTGGTGCTACAAATCTATCATAACCGTGATAAACTTCATTTATATTGGAAATCTAAAATGATTAAAAAACGAATATTCATGTTATAAATAAAAATTTTTTTTTAAAAATAGTTAATTTACCTCTGATTCGAATTGCTTAATTTCCGTCATGACTTTAGATCATATACAATGGATGGTACCATGTCCCGATATTTAATGTTTGCAGCGGTAGGTGGTGTAAAGTGGTGATGGTGGTCTTGTCGTCGGCGTTAAGTAGATGAGGTCATGGTGGGGTCGGTGGCAGTGGTTGCGGTGGAGGGTGATGGTGGGCTCAGAACATACATTTTCATCCTACTAATCTTGAGGATCGGATTATTGGAAACTAATTTTTGAATCCCTAAATGTCGATGTTTAAATATAAATGTATAGTATATTAAAGCATATTTAGAGCTTCCTTCCCTGAGAATTTATTTTTAGTTCATTGTTAATACCTGTGAAACTATGATACCAATTCGCCACCTCCAAAAATGAGCTTCAGATCCGCTACTGGTAAAAGTTAATACTAATATAATATACATAATATTATTATATTTAACTAATATAATATGGTGAAAGATCAGGGGGGAAGTAAAATTATGGTTTTTTTAATATATTATATGTCTGAAACTTAATAATTTGTAGAGCTGTAGAAGTAGCTCTTCTAACCATTTAAGATATTATACTTACCAACAACCATTTTAATAACTGTATCTAATTATAATCAGTGGTGTATTGGTAAATATATTTATGGGTATACGCACTAACAAAATATGTATATTAATTCTAAAAACAAGTTCTTGTTACGTTCGAATAAATTAAAATATACCCCTTACATGTTTATGACTTCTAATAAGACTAAAAATACAACATCACAAGATATACATTTGCCGTGCATAATAAATTGCTTGATACAAATTTATGAACCATGCGCTGAATGTCTATACTCCACATTATATTTAATAACATCCATTTTTCAAAATGTTATTTACTAAATTGAACTTAAAATACATTCAACTGTAATCGAACTGTACACTGTAATCTTCATTATAAAAATATTTCATTCAAACCCATAGTTCATAATAATTTTTTCCAACGAATTATTAAATGAGTTTTTTTTTGGTTTACGAGTTATTTTAGGTGCGTATACCCATAAAATAATATTTTACATTAGGTATACGCCGAAAATCAAAAATCTGCAGATGGGTGTTTATGACATACAGGGGCGGATCCAGAGGGGGGGCAAATGGGACGATCCCCCTCCCCGTTCACCGTAGCAGACTTTAGTTTTTGACGTAATTACTTCAAGGGTAAATAGGGAAATCTTAAACTATTTTTTTTATACCAAACTTATGTTGGTATCACTTATATTTATTATTCGATGATATACTGATATCACAGTTATATACAACTATTATGATGTTAAATATTCGTAATCAAGTTTTATGTTTGTCAGTGTTTCCGAGACGTGATAACTGATAAAGACCAACGTAAAATCGTTCGGTACCTCCATAATCAACAAATTTGTAATTATAAACTCTATTGTTATGGCTCATATTAGTATAACTATAGGTAAAAAAAATATTATTATTATTATTACTATATAATTTTTTTTTTGAGACTTTTTTTATTTAAATAAATAACCTATATCAAAATTAATATTTTTAATTTTATCTATATAAATATCTATATAATTTGGGTCCGTTAAAAATCCCCCACCCCCCATTATCTTGGTTTGAATCTATCCCTAATGGCGTATACCCGCAAATACGTACCAATTATTACCTGATTATAATATAATATTTGTAGTACTATTTTAGATTGATCTGCATTTTGACCGACTGTTTCCAAATAAAGAAGTTGCATTTTGTATGCAAAATTCTAGGGAATTAACTTACTACTCTATTGGCATAGACTGTCATTCATTTCTCGAAAAGAATGACTTATTTCGATTGATTCGCGATCGTTGCACAAACATTCATGATTGCCGAAGTAAATCACTGATTATTCGCATAAGTGACCATTAGTAGCGGCTCGAAGTAAATACCTGTTCTGGGCAGACTTAAATTATATAACATAAACTCCATACAAAAACGAACAATAAAAAACCTTTTATTGGAAAATTAATTACACTTAATACTTTAAATATTTAATTAATATTTTTAACTTAATTCAATTTTAATTTTTTTTATAAACTAATTTAATTCTACAATTCGCAGATGACGGTATACAGCGACTAACGACGGCGTGATGGCACGGAAATTATTGTCGTGAAAATTAGTGTCTATAAAGGCGCGTCCAGACGGAGCAGCTTTTACCGCACGGCAAATACGCGTCCACACGGTGCGGCATTTATTTCCCAATTTGTTTTAAAGCTATAATAATAATAATAATATATTATTCATAAATACTATAGAGTTGTGTTATTTTTAATGAGCAACGAAGTGCACGAGATCAGCAAGTAATCTATATTTTTGAATCTTAAAAAACATGAAATTAAAGATTTTTGAAAAATCATTATTGATCTTGTATTTTTATAAACAGAGAATCTTCAGTATCGACATTTTGATAGAATAAAAATTGTGTCTTCTGGAGATTACTACAAAAATCAGTTTTACCTCAGTGAAAAAAGTTTGTTCTGTTACTAATTACTTAAAAAATAATTTAAATACCTACTTAAAAAATAAGTACTGATGCCACGCGGATTTGCCGAAAATACGTCCACACACACGCGGCATAGGCGAGCGGCACAAACCGCGCGGCTTTCCTTTGATGTAGACCGTCTACTAGGCCGATCGGAAATTATGCCACATGGCATCAAAAAAAGCCGTGGAAAATGTATTCTCACTTATGCCGCGCGGCAAAAGCTGCTCCGTCTGGACGCGCCTTTATACGCGGGTCATTCAACTCGGCCCCATCCGTCCAAAAGCCAAACCATTACAATGTTACGATTAAATCTGTCGGACGTCAGTTTCACTGAAACGGCGACCATCGTCGAAATCACTAAAATAGTGTTTCCATCGAGATTAACTATTTATAGGTTTTATATTTCGTCATGGCCTTATATTTACAATAATAAATATAGAAAACGCTATAACTTACTTACTTTCAATAAAAATAAAAATATTTCAATACATTTTTAAATAATTATTATTTACAAGTAGCTGCTTTTCTAAGAGAAGACGTAGTCTCAAAGTCTTCCCAAACGAGCCGCCCCTGTTGAACATGCACCTCGAAGCCCTACAAAATACAAATACCGACAATTTATTGTTGTCGATTTTACCCAGTTCAATCGAAAATATTTCATGATGAATCAAGCGTGTCAACGAACGTAGAACATTGCTATTTTTAACTAGATACTTGTTTGTTATCGCCCAGCCAGTACGCCGTATAAAAATTATCTCTCCGCCACTCTTTTGTTTGTTATCGTTCCGCCATACTACGCTGTATTAGGCCCTCCGCACACTACGCGATTCACACGCGACGCAATTTTTTCCACGCGCGATATCCTAGCAAAGCGGATCCACTAACACCGCAATTTGATAATGACGCGATTACAACGCGACTGATAGACGACACGCGCGACCGACAGTGCTAGTCGCCCGGCTATCGTATCGCGTGAATTGCATACGATTTCATTTTAATATTTTATTATTTTGATTTGTATCATAAATTATTATGGAGGTGTTCAATTTAAAATTCGTTGGTGAGGTTGAAAAACACCCACCCTTATATAATTATATCATTCCCGACTACTGTAGGAAGGATTTGGTGGACAAAGCATGGCAAGCTGTATCAATGGAAGTCAAATTACCTGGTAAGTATTTTATTTTATACGTGGTTCCTAAATTTTTTCGTGTATTTTATATGATATATGGTATACCGATTATTTTAATACGTTGTAATATGTATATTTTATGTACTCGAATTACCTATTATTTATATTTATATTACATTGTTATATGTTTTTAACACGTTGAGTGCCGCGATTGGTACGTGGTATTTTAATAATAATAATAATAATAATATTAATTATATAATAATATTAATAATATTAATAATAATAATAATTTAATACAAGTCATGCGATTGACTCTGCACGATCTGATTATTAACGACTGATCATCGTTTTGTGTTGGTGGACCCAAAATCGCGAAAATCGTTCAAATCGCGTATGTCACACATATCGCATTTCAATCGTGTCGCGTGTGAATCGCGTACTGTGCGGAGGCCCTTACGCCATTCCTATAATTATCGTGTTTAATGTTATAAATGTTTAACTCGTGGTAGACGATCTATTTTATCTAATTTAATCAATTATCTATATTAAGTAGGGAATCTACTACGTAATATCAACTGGCTACTAAGTATAAGTTTTTCAAAATTATATAGACCCAGTACCCCTCGCCTCTCAATTTCAAGTGGTGTAAATTCACCACATTAAGTACGTATTCGGCGCCACCGGTTTGTACCGTTTCAACTGTTTCACCCCGTACAGAGTAATTATGTCAAAAACACCAGTCTCAAATATCACATTAAATTTGTGTAATTTAATAAAAAACAATATACTATACATAAATACGATTGCATTACGTATGAATTTATAATAAATTATTTATTTAAGTGTGCTGTGGAAATTTTTAAAAAGATCAAGTGCCGTTATGTAAAAAAGGTTGGGAATCCCTGGCATAGTCACGAACAACAGTTAATCGTCGATACTAGCGATTAGCGGTGGACTGTTGGGCCCCAACTAACTTATTAGCATAAGATCTATGGCACACTTGCACTTAACACTTAACAATTGCACGTCGCGCACTGTACATGGAAATTTTTAATGCACGATTTTTGCTTTTTAAGGCATCAAAGATTACACGATAAACCGTTGCCGCCGAATCCGTGTGTTCGACCTAAATCACACACGACTTTTATCGATTCGGCTTATAAAATACCGTGTGTACGATTTCATCTGATAACGTGTGGTTATTGCCTATTTTTGGAATATTGTCATGGGCGAAAACCATTTTTTCCCATAATAGTTAATATGTAATAGTATTATGATAATATTTCACGTTCAATCCGCATAATTATTAAAAATAAATCCTAATGCTGGTAGAAAAAGTAATCATCAATAGTATATATTGTTTTATAAACAAATGTATCTATCGCTAATTATTTAATAATTTTTTTACATAATTTTAAAAGTAATAATTTTGCCAATTCATTGCGTTTCGCCCGTCTTTCGGCATACCGTCAACTAAGCGATAATATATTTTTATCGGTCGACATTTGTGTGTTAACTGGCTTGAAAAATGCACTGATATAAAACAATATAAATCGTATTTGGTTACATTTGCCTATTCGCATTTGTACGCTAAAGATTTGTCGCGCCGCCATTGGGGAAGACTGGTAAAAGATTACTGCCGTTGATGAGATAAGCAAGACGTACTTTTTCAACAACGACAACATTTTTGTAGTGTCCAATTAACATCTTATTATTTCGAGTCGTGATGCTCAGCATAGGAACATTAGGTAGACATTTTTAAGTAGTGTTCCCGATTGATATTGCATAATGAACACAATACAGCGCAATCACTACGGCTATCGATCAACGACAAGTACAATACAATAATCAAGTACAATAATCTAACAGAACACATGATTTATTATCGAATCATTAAATTGTATAGTATTAATATTAATTGGTCAATCGGTACCGTTCAATTACATAAATAATATGTTTTGTTTATATACGTAATATTATTATGAAATAATTTATCCACCAAGAAGCGGTCGGATAATATTGAGAATGATTAACGGTAAGAAGATTAAAGCACGTAGCGATCTTTACCCGTGTGCAATATAATAACGGTTCTTTATAAACATGGCGAGAGGACTTGTAGTATTTGAATAATCACAAAAATAGCCGGAATGCGAAACAAATACGTTTCACACTTACACAAAGCTAGTTTTGACATTTTATCGTGCGTATAAATGCATATTATGCAACTTTTTGGTTTATAGGGTATATTTCGTCCATTTTATACTTTTAGATGCATATTTTAAATAATTTATCAATATTTTTTCGTCGACGTTTTTATTAATTTATAATTATAATTTTATTTAATTTATAATTTAATTTATTATAATTTAAAATTATTTTAAATTTTGATCATGATATTAATATGGTTGTTGAGTTTTCCTAGGCGCATGTTTTTCCAAGAAACACGTCTCGATAGTTGCCGAAGGTATCGTAAAAGTTATTGATTTTATTTATAGATGAATGAGATAATATTGTTGAACGCACAAAATATCGATACGGCCAACGGGGACGTAAGCCGCCGACACCGGACATATTCGTATTTCATTAATCGCGATGTTTCTCAACGGTCGCCCGTACGTCCGAACGCGTTCTGTTCACTGGCGATTGTAAAAAATGCCCGAATTAAGTGTACAGTTAAGAAAACCCGTAAAATAAACCCAAATAATCAATCGTAATTTGCTAAAGATAAAGTCGTGAACAAAATGTGTATTTATCGTAATAATAAGTTGAAACAAATAAACGTGTAAACGGGCGTTCGTTCTACTCGTACGTTTGATTTTAGTCGTATCCAATCCGCGATGAAGACCAGAAAAGGCGCGTATTAAGCAACGCGAGAATGACGCGCGACGTTCCGCAGTCGAATCGTCCGCGACTGAAACAATTTTCGGACATGGTCAAAAATGGCCACGGAATGCGGAAGAGAAACTGCTTACGTTGTAAGCTGTGCACGTCGCTCGAGCGTTGGAAAAACGGCGTTGTTGTATAATATTATTTTAAACACCACTGGTCACACTCGCGACGTCCGTTTACCTACGCTACGACGTCCGTCAGCAGCACTTATCGGACGTCGTAGTATATTATTAGATTTTGTTTTCCGAGGCACGCGACCGCTGTTTTCTCGCCGACGTTGAACGGTGCGCTATCATATATCAATAGGTAATTTAATAATTTTTTTTAATAACCATATTTTAAAAACGAAAAACGGTATTGATTACCGGAAATGAAACACGTCCCGTTTTGTGGCATGTAAGTAATGAGTTGTACAAGGATAAGAATAAAAAAATATTGAACGGACGAGTGTTGCGAACGTTGTTGTCAAAAATGACGAACTATAACAATCGATGTATATTAATGATAAGATTTTATTTTCATGCTGAACGTTCGTTTGACCAGCAGAGCATGTTACGTCCGTTAAAAAATTATGTGTCCGTTTTTCCAGTGCTCGCGTAACCCTACCCTAAATGGTGTTACACCGCCCTAAGGTTTTGTACGGGGGTGGGCGGGGGGAACGTCACGCGCCAACGTGATACGGTGCTCTCGCGGTACGTGGCACGCGCGCACGACAAAACGGTTTGGGCCCACCGGTGAGGCGTCCGATGACCGTTTCCGTGCCGTACGTGAAACAACGTTGCGATTACGTGGAACCATAGACCTTATACTCATATGCGTGGAACCGAAGGAAACCGAATTCGGTACGACCGCGTCCGATAAACTGTCGCGTAGCTTCTCGATCCGTTTTGGTCGCGCGCGACCGGTCCGGCCATCATTTGACCACCGTAACCCGTTCGAAGTGGACGTGCCGATTGGACTTTTTCCGACCACAACACGTAACTATTGCACTGCGCGTTTTCTTCCGCTCCGTTCGTCACCGATCGTCTAATCGCTCGCGCCACCGCCCTGTCCACTGCCGGTTTTTTCATTTTTAATTCTTACCGCCGTACGTTTATTATTTTTATTTTTTTTTTTTTTCGTCTCGCGCGTAATACTACCGACCTAAATTATTTTCGACTCTGTTCGAGCCATCTCGCACGCCCGCACACACACACACACACACACATACGCGATGTTGGCATCGAAACTGATCAGCAATGATCTGAAGATCAACCTGGTCGGACTCGACGAGCTGATCGGCTACGAAGGCCCCGGCGAGGACGTCTCGTCGTTTCGCCAACTGAACATGCGCGAAGACGAAATGCCGTTAGTCGTCCGTATGGAACAGAACCGGGCCAGGTTGGTCGAACATCTGCTCGAGTATCAGACCGAGTTCGATTCGAAATCCATTCGCCATTCGGTGCTCCACAAGATTTCCAACCAGAGGGTGAACCGTAAAGACGACGTTTTCAAGATGATCCGTGTAGGCGTCGAGGAGGGAAACGATCTGGAAAAAATCGAAAGGTCTTCGAGGTCGGAGTGCTTGCGTGAACTCAGAATGTTGAAGAATACCTATCAGCTGGTATCGAAAGCTTCCAATTGTAAATATAAGAAAACTTTATCCCGGATCTGTCAGTGCTTCCCTTTGATCACGTGTTCGTATTTACCTTTCGCTGTTAAACCTCCCGTATCGTTCTACCAAATGGAATGCATTTCCAAAAATTATCCCAAGGTGATGATGCACTCTGCTTTCGCATATCTTATTCCAAATATAAGTGATGAATATTGCTCGTTGTTGAAAAAAGCTCATATGTTACATCAATTTGAATTCCATCTAACCATGTCTGGTGTGCATCGAACAAATACCACTATTATTCGTGAAACCAAACTTATTTCCATAATCAATAGTTACACTCAAACTGCTATTAATAAATCACATTTTGAGTTCGATACACAAATTGCCTTTTTAAAAGAATATAATTTAATTTTTATGAAAGTTGATAAAATAACCGTTGGCAATGAAGTCTTAAGAGCAGCTAAATTGTGGGAACAGTTGGAAAAAAAATATATTTCTTAGATATTTGTAGATCTTTTCCCTTGGAAACTCAGGTGTATATTATAAAACAAATTGTTATGAATAAGTACCTACTGGTAACAAAAATTGACAACTATTTATTATTTTATTATTGTTTACCAAATTTATATTTTATTAAATTTACTTTTGTATTTTTTTTTTTCATATATGTTATACCCATAATATGTTACTATTTTTTGAATATTTATTGATGTTATTTTTTGAAAGCTTATTATCCTTTTATACTGTTCTAAAAAATGTCCTAATTAAACAGTTTTTATTTAATACATTTAATTTGCTTTTTTTTTCTTATTAGTAAAAATTAAATATGGGTATTAAAATATTAATTAATCAAATCTATGATAGCGGTTAGATAATTTGATTTAAGTCAAGAATTACTAGTCTTCATGATAATACTTAAATATAGGTACGTTAAAAGTATACTTTATAATACTTATACTATTTATTACATTGAGTGATTAGCAATTAAAAATTCCCATGATATTTGTTTCTATGAGCAATATGATTATCAAGAATTAAAAAAAAAAAATCATTAAACCAAAATAAAGTTCTTAAAATTACTTAGAAAATTAATATTTTTGCTTTAAATAGCTGTTTTTATTTCTTATAACATCTGTAAAATTAAATGATTTAATTCAATTCACTGTTTGTTATTTTTTTTTTTTATAATTAAAGATTATTAGAAAAAATTAGCCACCTATAAATTAATATAAATATATTTTATTTTAACAATATCTACTTATGAAATAAAACATTTTAAAACATGTTTAATATAAACGTATATATAACCCATCTGGGTAAAAATCATAATTATAAACTTACTTTCAAAACAATACAATAGTTATATTGGTTTAGAGTTTATTGGTTAATAAAATATAAGCTCCAGTAGGTATATATGATAAATCTTATTATATAATAGTGAATTATTGTAAGTTATTTATATTAAACTAAAAAAAATTAACTATATAGAATATGTGTAAGTATTACTTTTTACATTAGTCAAAAATACATAGTAGTGTTTAAAAAATTCAATCATTATTTAATAAAACCATAAAGTATAATTTCATTAAATATTGAATATATAAGACTTAGACAATATCTATCTCAAATAAGTATTATTTAAGAATTTAAGATTATCATTTTAAAGGTAAAAAAGTATTATTAGGTCTCTAGTTGGTTATTTTTTAAACTTTTTAATACCTACAGCTACCCTAATATACAATGCATATATAATATAAAATGCAATATATATTATATATTTTTAATATAATATAAATATATAATGGTTCTTTATACTTTCTAATGATGGTGTATGGCAGAGAGTATTTGTAACATCTGAACTCAAATAAAAGTAAGAATTTAAAATAACTAGTTGGTATGTAGGAACTTGAAGTGTAAATTAAATAATTATGAAGACAATTTAAGTATTGTTATGAATTAAGTATTTATAGAGTGGAAACTTAAAATAAATGTTCAATTTAAAAGTTATAATATGTATTTGCTGCATAATAATAATTAAAATGCATATTATTCTTTGAAAAACAATGTAGGCAATACATTGTAAAACTTTTATAAGTGATATTTAAATGTCAATACCAATATATAAATAATGTGTTAAGTTAATGAAACAAAACATTTATTTTTAATTTTTTTAATCAAACACCTTTCAAATGCAGCTTCAAATATTGCAAATAAAAAATAATATTTTCAACAATAATATAAAATCAAATATTTTATGAACTTAATTCATAAAACATTTTTGGTAGTAAAATAAATTCAATTCATTATAATATTAACCCAAAAATTAGAACATTTCTGTACAAGTGCAGAGTATATAACTTGATGGTTTCTCCTTTAATTATATTTCATACTTTATATAATCATCCTATATATTTGTTTACTATCAGTCGTTGGGTGTTACGATTAAACTGTTTGCCATTTGGTAAAGTTCAACAACGTCTGGAACACTGATAGCAATTGCCGAATTTTAAAATAAAATTATCTCAAGTAATAGCGCTTATAAAAATTAACCTTATTAATAATAATATTATAATGAAAATGATTGTTGTACATAATTTATAATATAAAATTATCACCTCGATATACTGATCTTACACCAATGCGCTACTGTCTGAGATGTAGTAGGTACATGTATTTGAATTTGTTGACTGTTTAAATACTGAAATATTTCTAAAATATGCTGAATGTGTTTAGTTATTAGATTTATAGTTAAATGTTTTTTTAACATAACCAATTATTTTATATTATGCAAAAAAAATATTAGTATTAAATCTTTTAGATTAATTGTATATAATATCTTCTGCAATGGTAGGTCATGCAACCCACTAATTCCAACTTGTTAGAATGTTCAAAATAAATATATATCTTTATCATTATTAGTTTTTAAGATAAAACCGTAGTAAGCATTTATAAGAGTTTAATGAGTCATACATTTATTTATTTTACTTTCAGTACTTTTACCCTTGCATCTGACCTGTATAAATAATGAAATGTTAAATGAAAATTTTTCAATTAGGCGGTAATGTTTATTATTCCCATTAATACTTATATATATTATATACTATAATGTATATCAAAACTCAATAAAAGTATATTTTTACTCAAGAACACCCTATTCATCTTCTGTACATATAAGCATATATTTATTAAGAATATTTTGATAGGATAGCTCAATGAAAAAAAAAAAATATATATTAATAACAATAATAAAAATAAAAGGTTTTTTTAATAAATTGTATGAAATTGTTTGAAATACATTATAAATATATAGTTTATGCTGTAATGTATAAATTAAATATATAAAATAGATGATTTAATTATGAAATAAAACATATGAATATAGTTGTATAATGATAATTTAGTCCTTAAAATAATCTACTAAGTAAGACTATTTTTAAAATAATAATAATCTTATATAATATATGTCTATTCACCCTAGTGGTTTAGACTTAATATAATAATAACAATAATAGTAATATTATTGTCCTAATTCAGTCTGATATTAGTTATTACTATTGAAGTTTTAAAAACTAATATTGTACTATGCAATTAATAAAATAATTTTTATTTGAAGTTTGAATCAATGATTTCTACCCAATGTTGTAAGTTCAGTTTGGGAATTAATGTTGAATCACAATCAAACATTTCAGCATCATTGTTTGCATCAACTGTTTTAAAGACATTTAGTTGAACTTGCTTGATAGCATTGCTATTAGAACACAACAGTCTGGCCAAAGTTACATTTCTGATTTCTGCCAATTGGTCTATATTAAATAATTTTTGGTTAAAATCAAATTCAATGTGCATTCAATTGAAATAATTAAGCAAGACTAACTTTGTGTGAAGACTTTTGGCAAATCATAAAAATATCTGTCCCCCATTCTAATTCTTACTAATTGATCTCTGATTATACACATCATTGTTGAGCCAATCATTGAACCTTTTACTGGTTTCTCTAATAGTGCACCTACAATGAGTTCTATATCGTCCACATTTTTATATATTCTCATTAATTTACTGACAATCTATAAATAATATTCATAGAATAATTATTAGTACAGCGCATTGCTTATTATTTTATGTTTTTATCTTACTGTTTCGTCCATAATCTTGACCAAATCTTTTTCATTTTCTATCGGGGTCAATTCACAAGGTCTTCTAAATTTCGTAAAACTAGGAATACCATGATCACGGCTACGTTGTATGCTCAAGCTCACAATGTCCATACCAAACCCATTATCCTCATGCAATTGATTTGTTACCTAAAACAGTTCCAGTACACGTTATTAATAATTTTTATGTATAAGGCGAACGGTGTTGTCTATATGCGATAGCACTTGAATAATACTCAGACATGAAATACATTTTATAACTTTTTTGAGCTTACATGATTCGAAAAAGACATATCGATTTGGTCTGTCTTCTGCGAGGTAAAACCTCTGAGCAAATTGTCGAAATGCAACGTGAGCATTTCGTACGGTTTCTTATTGTAATGCTTGTTCGATTCATATGTGCTGTTCATTCGCTGATCATCATGATTCAAGCTGAAAACAAAACGATTCAAATTACACACGTGACACGTTAATAACTTACAAACAACGAGCACGTACACTATGTGCATGCCAAACGCTGAATAAGCCATGGGTACTATTACGTTCGCGAAAACGTTGGTGGTTGTGGCATCAACGTTGTCGGTGTAATTTTCAACGGCCCCGGTCAAATCGAAATATTGCCTTAGAAACGGGTTGGAGTGCGAGTCGCTCACTAAAACGGGCAGCCATTCGTTGAAAGTTATGTGCTGGATCATGGCTATTATTATTCGTCTGGTCTCTTGAAACAACGTCTCGTCGTTCCAGTGTGGATTGATTAGGGCTAGTTCGCCGGCGATCCGATTGTGCTCCTTCACCCACACGGTGTAAAGGGCCAGCAAATACGGATGCGAGTTCACCCTGCTGTCGCCAGACCTGTAGCACTTGTCGTCGGTGTGGCATAGCGTCGGGTCGTCGGACACCGGCAGCACCGTGATGTTGTCGGGTGACAGCGAATCCATCAACATCAGACCTCCCGAGTTTTTCCTCAGCGATTTCATCACCCGGTACGAAGTACCGTAGATCATTGACCCGTCCAAGTAGTGGGTGGCTTGATTGACCTGAAACGATTTCTCATTGAGTAAACGCCGCGCCAAAACGTTGTCGAGTATTACTTGTTCTCTAGGTCCGAACGTGCAATCAGTTCGCAAGGTCGGTGCCGAACGCACGTAGTTCATGCAAGTGCGACGCAACGGTCGAAAATACGGATCGGTATCGGCTATTTTGATTGGCGCGCACAACGGGTGCATGTACCGTGGCGATAGCGGAGATCCGCTTTCGTCGCAACATTCGATAGATTTGTTGGTGGCCCCTAAAACGTATGAACGCGATGCGCATGAACTATGTACTTACAGATCAGTGGTTCTCAACCGGGCCGACATGGACGCATTGTAAGGATGACACGAAATGTCCACGGGAAAAGGAAGAAAATAATTAATTTTAATAAAACCATATTATTTCCATAACTGTTATGTAAATATCATACCTTTAAGTTTGTATCTTTATATTATTTAGATCCGATAAATACTTACAGTATTTTTATTTGCGAAATCGCTGCATTATCGATTATCTTTACGATTTAATCGGGGTCGTTAGTCAGTTATTTTGAAGTCGCTAGGTATGTAGTATTACAGCTCTACATCCCTAGAAGAAAATATAAGACTAGGTCTTTCCACCATCAGCCTCGACTTCTTAAATTTTGTAAAAACTACCCGGGCCAAATTTCCCAATCAGTCTTTATATAAATCATTATTATTTTTCCTCACTCTCTTTTTTTTTTTTTTTTTTTTTTAAATTTGTAAACTTAAACTTTAAAGCGTCAATGTTTATTGAACCCTGCAACTCAAATAAATTGTAGGTGTACTTATTATTTTTCTGTGTACTGTTTTTTTTTTTTTTTTTTTTGTTACTCAAGAGTTATTCTAAAATACACAGTTAAGATTATTTATTATTTTAATGTTAGGGTGATTTTAGTGGCTAAAGGAGATATGAACGATAAAAGGATGAGAATCACTGATGTAGATCAACCAACAGTTTCGTTAACCTTACCCGAACTGGAAACAGCGGTGTGGGACATATCATGGCCTATGAACAAAGCCCAGATTCCAACCGCCATCGTTCGATCCGTGTCGATGTGGTATTTGTATTCAGCTAGACTATTGCTCAACTCCCTGGGATTGGGAAGCAGATTATTCATTTCACTTATCCCTGTACAAAATTAAAAAATATATATACATATTACCGAACTGAGTTGATGAAGTCGAATTAACGTATAAAAACGTACACACGAACAAAAATTAATTTTCAAATATTACCATCTTTGTATGAGGGATATATATTGCGACGGTAAGCTGTGTTTGATTTTCCCCAATAAGGTTTTTTCAAATTATTACATGAACCATCTGAACTCCGATATTTCAGGTTCCTAACTAGGCAAGTACTTGCTTTGAATTTGTAGGAAACACACATTTTACCTAAAGAAGTTTCGTTCAATTGTATGTTAGATAAAGTCTTCGCAAATAACACCGAATCCTTTCCGTAGCTATAACATTGATAAACGATTAAGTACATTGTTTTTATTGCGATATTGTTTTGGTTATACATTAAAAAATATTTGTTCGCTATATAGGTTGTAGCTTTAATAACGACCTCGGCATATCGGGATTCTACAAGAGTTTCCGTGGATGGCTTAGAATCAATGAACTGTCCAAAAGAAGAACTTCCAATCTGTACAGTTTTATTGGCATTTGCTAACGAATATTCCAAGCGAGAAAGCATATCCATTTGTTTAATGCCATAATCAATTACAAAATCTAGTTCTAGAGTAGGTATTTTTGAAATGTTTTCTATTGGAAAAATAACAGTACATTTTTAAGCATTGTTAAAACTAATGTAATTATTTTTATAGCCAATGTTAATTTTAAGACTTACTAGTATTCATTTCTCTATTACACATAGTTATAGATATACATGATAATGCAATTAGTATGAAAACTAACACCTGCTTGGACGCTAAGGGATTCATTTTGTTGAACATTATTTCTGTAATCATAAGCATAAATAATTAAGTACATCGTTATTCATTACAAAATATATTACTTCTTTTATGCGATTATATATTTTTACAATTATTTCCATAAATAATTATAATTTATAAAGAGGTCATGATGTGAACAAATCTTCTATACAAAAGTAGCACTTTGACTTTAAATTGTATACCTATTTTTAACAAAAAAAATGTTCTCGGGGTTCCTTGAATTTTTCGAGTTTGTTCATAATTTGAAATTCAAACAACAAATCGAAACTTATAATAAAATTAAACATATTAGTTTAAAAAAACACAAATATACTGTCAAAATTAATTTTAGATATTTTTCCACGTGAGTAAGAATAATGTATATTATAAAACTTCAAATTAAAATTATTTTATCGAAGAAAACTTGAAAGTATCAAACATCTAGAAACTAAAAAAAAAAAAAAAAAGCTGCAAAATCTTTTGAAATAACCTATATATTTATGTAACAGTTGTGTGAGTACTCGATAATAATTTTAAGTTTTCAAAAAACTTATCTTATTTAGTTATAATGTATCTTTAACGATGAAATGTACAATTTGTTTTTAATAATACATTTCTACTTTTCGCTAAGATCAAATTCGGACACCTTAAAGCCATAAGGTCTTGAAAACTCCCTTTTTCTGCACATGTGTCTTACAGACGTACAACACGTTAAATTTGCGTTCAGTAGTCACGATGTTATGTTGTTAGCTTTAATGTAAACAGTCCTATTATCATGCATAAAGTAATAAAAACATTGTATATGTGTTATTTCAGTCAATAATTTGCGATATTTTAATTCAAGCGAGTTATGAGTAAGTGAAATATTAAATTTAAAAAATAATCCTAACATAATTAAATCATTAGAAGAAAAAAACGCGGATAATATTCTTCTTGTTATATTTCAGTTAGTAACCCCAACGTAGATGCTTGTAACATAACACTTGAACAGGGCTGAAGGGTACACGGTGGTATACACCGTATACCATCTGGTAATTTCGATCAAATCCGTATACCTTTTTACTTAGGTCGTGTTAGTACTTGCTGTCGAATGCCATGGTTAAAATGAAATTAAAAAATATTATATGAGATTATGTATGCATTATTACTATCGTTTTTGGTAGAATTACCATGAATAACGAACATCAATAATTTATTTAACGATTATTATTTTATATCGCATATTGAAGTGCGTCTCCCTATAGCTCACGAACGTACGAATGAATGTGTAGAACCGCATGCGGTTAGACAGAGATGCCTGTTCGTATGGGTACGGACCGGTTCGTGGGCGGTACATCAAAGGAAATTTGTTTATATTTGAGACGCGATATGTTTACCAATGCGGCCTGCACTTAATAAATCGCGGGCAGTTGTTTTATGTTGATGATTCAATAATTTTCTTCCAATAATGGAGAATCACACGGATTGGTCCGACGATATGACCTTAATACTCGTAAGTTTTTACAGAAAAAACCAATTGTTTGAGATTCAACACAGACGGATTGCAAAAACATGATAGCTAGACTGAAGTTGATAGCGAAATGGGTACCGATGTTGCGATAGTCAAAAAGAAAATCGATAGTCTTCTTGGATCGTTCGGACGTAAATGTTTACAACAATAAGACACCTGCCGCCCAGGTGCTGGTACGGATGATATGTACGTACCAAAATGGTTCGCTTTCAAGGATATGAAATTCTTGATCGATAAATTAAAACCTAGACAAACAAAGGATACCAAAAATCCTGACGTGTAGGAAAATACTTGTAATCCCTTAAATAGTGTGGTGAAAATTGCGCGTGTCCACCAAAAATCGAGCGAACCGGTGCCAACACCAAAACGTATGCGTTTTACCAATCAGTTCGTCGCAAACACACGAACGACACCGTACGCCACATGGCACACTATAGTGGAGACGCGCCTTTGTATAAATAGGCGATACGATTAGTTAATGGAATACGATTATTATTAGTGTAGGATCACATTGTGCGTTTTGTCGGTCACCGAAAAATACTATCCCGATCAACTGCAATCGGGACGACTGATCATATAATGCGTTTTATTGGTTACCCAAAGACTGCATTCGGTTTTATGAGTTTAAAAGCGCACGAATCCCTTATGATATGAAACATTTAATTAAGTAAATTACAAATAATTAACTATTATTTGATGAGTGGAGTCATGGTTCAATTGAAGCTTCTGGGAAATATCGTACTAACCAACTATCGAATCTTCGAATTAAAAAAATATGAATTTGAAGGAAAGAGAGTTTTACAAAACTGATCAATATAGAACAATTTTGGAATATATTACGATAAAATACTTGTGAGTTATATCATTACACATTTAAATTAATTTAATAAATATATTGTTAAGGGCATTGCAATCAGATCGTTCTTAAGGGGTTTAGTACAGGCAATAATATTAGTGATATTAATATGGGCGCATGTAAACTCCACCACAAGTAACTTTTTTTACTGTAAACTTCGCTAAAAAAAAAATAAATAGGTAAAATTGAGTTCATGTAAAATCCGCCAGTGAAGAAAATCTAATAGTAGTATAAAATTAATATGATATATTATTAAAAAAAATTATAATATCATATCGTTCACATTAAATATTTAAATCATAGTAAAAAAAATCATAATTAATAATTTTTATACATAGTAATCCATAATATATATAATAATATACATAATAAAAATATATACAGTTATGTCAAGTATGTAAACAAAATTATGTGATACAATTTGTAAATATTCTAAGACTTGTATTACTCCATTAGTGAAACTATTTATAGTATCCTGTAAAACTGTAATTTTTTTTTTATTTCGAAGTTTTTTGCTTATTTACTCAAGATATGCCATTTAATTTTATATAAATATGGGTTTGAAATTCGGTAAGAACTTTACTAAAAATAAGAATATTCGGTTGACTTTTATAAAATGAATTTCATAGATGACTATGAAAGGACTCACAGGCAAACCACAAAAAAAACTGGCGGAGTTTACATTAGACCTTTTATTGCCTTTTTATCTTAATCGATATTCTGGTGGAGTTAACAATCGCCCATTAATATTACTGTTAATGAAGAGGACCGGTGATAACCACTAGATTACTTATACTTAATTACGAAATAATTTCAGATTACCAACTTAATCGTCATGAATGATACGGCTGATTCAGCGATAATAACAAATTGTTTGGTATATATACAATAATATAAGATGTTCGAATATTATTTTTATGTAAATATAAAAATAATATAATGTATCAATTTAATAGTTAAATTAATTATTAATTGAAGCTAGAATGGTAAATACATTATTACAAAAAAAAAAAAAACATCTTTTTCAATAGAGGAAATTAAATTAAATGAAATGAAATTGCGGATTAATTCTATTGATTAATTTATTGATTAATTCTAGAAACGTAAATATTTTATTCATACATTATATTTTGTTTTTCCAAAATATCTCTTCCGTCTATTTTATCAACACAATTACCTACAATAACACAGACAATATTAATATTTTAATTATAATTATATATAATATATATAATTATATTATAATTATAATAAATAAAATTTATGTAAAGGTGACCCTTGTACTTAGTACAAAGTAGTATTTATTTTTTTTTAGTCTAGTTTATCTATTTGTATATCCATATACTCTAATTTTTTTTTCTTGAGCTTATCCTGGGGGAGATATATCATTGAGTTTAATGCAATTAAAAATGTTGATTCAATAAGGAACTAATTTTTGTTAATTTATAATTAAAACCCTGATAAAAATACGACATCTCAGAGTCACTGAATTTAAAACCTGTAAAAATATTTGAACTCATCGTAATTTTTTCTTGGTTATTGTAGAAGCCGAATAAGTGTTGAACTTCCGTAAAAAAAAAAAAAAAACATATTAGTAAATTTGAAAATGGAAAACCTTTTTGAATATACGAAATAGGATATAAGAATAATTTAAAAAATATTATCAAAAATCAAAGTATTTTGGGTCTAAAACATGGAAAAACCGGACCACTTTCAATCCCTTTAACATGGAACCGGTAATCATAAAACATAATCGCTAAAAATGGGATTTTTTTTTCCTAATAATATATTTCTACATCACAATATATAATACCCTCTACCGAAACGTTGGGCAAGACAAACTCCAAATTATGGTATAGTTATAATAATTATATAGTACGACCAATGATTTTTTTTTTTTTAACTACATCAATGCACTTGAACCACACGTTGAACGCGAGTCGATCGTACGTTCATATATAACGGAAACGTGAACCAGACGTGAGTGGTGGCATCGCGTTAAGCGATTGTAACGTAGAACGAACAAAACGTACAGGTGTATACCAGGGTCGCCACCCGTCCTGTATTTTACGGGATGGTGCGGTTTTTATTTGCTTGGTGTCTCGGCAATATGAGCGCCGAGACGCAATACCTTCCATATTTTTTAAAACAGTACACAAATACCATGATGTTTAAAGTCGATACGTTTTTGCCAAATCCGTTCAATTAATTAATTTATAAATGATTCGTCACTCATACGCAACACATTAAATGCAGTTGTATTTACTAACTACTTACATTGATTAAGTATACTTAATATATATATATATATATCAAAATGATAAAGTGAAAGTCTCATATTTATTTTATTATTGATATTTTAATATACATCTGTTGGAATGTTTTTTTAGGTATAGGTACAACAATTTCATGCAACAAAAGTGTTCACATACATAACAAAAGAAAGAGCCATATTTATATTATTATTTAGAATATTAAGGAGCAATATGAATTGAAAATATTTTATTTCATTGGCATACTAATAAATCAAATTGAACATGATAAATATATGAAAATAATTCATAGAAAATATACGTGTCCCGTATTTTGGACGCTAAAAGATGATAACGCTGGTGTAAACTAACCCTGAGTTACTATACATCGCAGTTTAATAGTACGATGGACAGTATCGATTTTAAGTATGGCGTTCCGATAATGTGTGTTCGGTACAGACGATTTTCGCGGAATAAGACTTCAATAATGTGATAATGTTTGTGTTTTATTGAACTCTACGTTGAAAAACCATAATAATATCGTCATGATAAAATAAAAAGTTGACTAATTGACCAACGAAATCGTGTAATTCGAAGGATATTGGTGGCCAGGTTAGCTTAAAATACCGAAATGTGTATTGTAATAATTGTACAGTACAATTAAAAAATCAATAAAAAAAAAAAACACAAGAAAAAATGAAGGAAATAAAAATCGTCACGGTTTTTGCCAAATAAAATATGTTAACCCAATACTAACCGACACGTGGTCCGCGCTCGGCCAAACCGGTAAACAGCTCGAAGAATCCGGTTGAAACCCCGACGGACACAGTTTCTCGAGTAGTCAAGCCTTTGGAGGGATGCACTGGATGCCTTGGGTCGTCACTGCTGCTGCTTCTGCTGCTGTTGGCGCACTACGGTTCGGTAGACGCGACGCGCTGGTGCTCAACGCCGTTTTTGCCGCCGCCACCGCCACCGCCGCCGCCGCCGCCACTGATCGAACGTTTGGTGGGGGCGAACCAGACCCCGTTTTTCGCGGGCACGTTATTCCTTTGTGGTACCGCTTCCCAGGGCCGGATCGGAACGGTTGGTCGAGTCGAACGGTGTGTGTTAACCTTGTACCCCCACCGGCGGATAGCATGCTTTCGACCCTTAACCGAGTGCGTACATAACCAAGTTCCGAGTACTGAAAATCAGTGTCGGATTACCCACGGGGCAAAGTAAACATCCGCCTTAGGGTCTCACTCATTTAAGGCGCCCTGTGAAAACGGAAATCTATATATTTTTTTTTTATTTAATAATATCTGTATTCTATTTACGAATTTACAGGACAAAAGTCATTATGAAATAAAATATATATTAAGTTGTAGGTGTTATATGCAGTAATAATAATAATATTATTTCGTAAAAAATAGAAATAAAATAATAATTAGTTAATTTTTCTTGCAAATATCAAAATGTAATAAACATGATTTTATTTATTAATAATAGTCGGTTTTTTTTTAAAGCTATTAATTTTAATTATTGGATAGTAATGTTAAAGATGTACATGAAAAAATTTTGTAGGACCCAAAATTTTCATTGCCTAGGGGCCCACAAATTTTTGATTCGGCACTGCGTCAACTGCTTCCGTTTTGCCTGCCACGCGAACGGCGACCGTCGATAAATGTCACCTCCGCGATCTCATTACGATCCACCACCCTTGACTTGTCGGTCCACGTCCGTTTCCCGTCGCAAACATGTGTGACCGTGTGCAAACCACCTTTGACCGCAGCGGAGCCGCACCTACGTGTTAGGGTTGACGGCCGTCGCACCTTCTCTAGTGCCGGATTCTTCTTTGCAGTAGCAAAGTGATGCATCATTATTTGCCAGGCTGAAAAATTCATTAGGCGGCCATTATTCGACACCGAAGTCTGATAAGCATTTTCTTTCGATGAACTGTTTAGGCTTGCGTCGTCGATATCTGCGGCTTTTGATTTGGATGTCGGAAAATTTCTCAGTGGAAAGAAAAAGTGGGTTTCCGTCGATCCCCTCGAGTACGATTCGAAATAACATACATCGACAATATTAGTTAAATAAACCATTAAGACAAACATTTATATAAATTGTCTACGAACCAGGATCTCGCATCCGCTGTATTAATGTTTCCAAAATCTAACCATTACGGGAATAATATATTTTACGCCTCCAAAACTATAACTACCATCCCGAAAATTATTGAAGATCGTGTACAACAATTTCTACTTTCGGTCCCACATGCACTCGGTGAAAGACTATTAAAATATATTCTCCGCCTCAAATAGCACGACGGATATAGAGTATTATTTTACGATTTTAATCCGGATTCACTTTATAGTAACCAGTGTTTGGAAATAACGTCGTTCGTAAACGCACGTTCATATTTAGAAAACGACATACGAATGTCACTCGCTTTATTCAAATAGAACGTGAACGTGAAGGACGTTCGACTTTTAATGAATTTTAACGATTTTTAGGGCATTCAAATTTATTTACAATTTTAAAAATATTTGTATAAATAATAAACATTGATTATAATACAGTTAAATATAGGTGTCAAACACAAAGTAAAATACATCTATAGATATATAGTATTATAATACATTTTATGAGGCTCAAAAAAAAAAAAAAAAATATAAATGTAAACATGTTCAATTTTTAAGTGAACAATGATAGTAATGATATACTTGTATATAATTTGTTGTACTTACATTTCGATTTCTGAATATATTATAATCATTAGTTTTCTAAAGGGGTAGCTAGAAAAAATGTGTCATATATACTTGCCGAATCAAAAATTGATCTACAATATTATTTATTATTAAATCAAGATTATTTTTTTCTAATTTCCCATCAGTTACTATTTAACGATGTAGGGAATATTATTTTACGTTTTGCGAAGTATTGAAATTAAAATATTCTATTATCCATTTACTTCATATGTATACTAGTATCATGCAATTTTAATCTCAAACGAAATCTAGTTTAGCAATATAAATTTACATTTTGCTATTCATTTTTAGCCAAAGTTGCTTGTTTATTATTATTATTATAATTCTTATTATTATTATTATTATTGAATCTTTACTAACTTACAGTCCAGGATTAAAAAATGGTGAAACTCTTTTCAAAAGGAATTCAAACTAATGATTTTATTATCGTTTTATTATGGTGGGTTACAATTTTATCTGAAAGTAAACCAAATAAATATTTATACATAATCCCATCGTAATAATGTAAAATGTTTGCCTTTTCGGGGTCAAATTTATAAATGGATTTATACATAGGAGTATACAAATGGTAGATAAGATCGTTGAAATACTTAAATATATATTGACAAACAACGATTATTTACATATTGAAGACGAGGGCTGTTTGCCTCTAAACTGAATGCCTACACTACTAGAACGTATATTTATATTCCATACTGCCTTAAGTTATTTTATTATTTGATAACTTAGTAAAATAGAAAAAACAATTCGATAAGGTTTCCCAACTCAGCTTAGTGTTCTTTTACCCTGCCTATTCTTTCATTATTTATTTTAAATTTTTATTATTTGAAGTGATATCAATGGACTCCTTTTTTGTTTATGTCGTTCAAGCGTAGTAAACATTTATTTCATGCTAAAAACTTACTTATTGTGTAAGCGTGTATACAGATGGTAATATTTTCTTAAAAAATAAAAAATGTTTTTATTTAGAAAGGACAACTTTTTTATTTTTAACAAATCATAATTCGACCATTTATAACCCTGCCTCATTTCGTAGCTCTCTAAAACCGGGCTTGTTTCCATATTTCGCGTACGTTTTGTGAAATTACAACCTGCCTGCGCGTTATCCACACCTACATTATGGCTATTGAATAATACTAACGTAAAGTCTTACCGACACATTATTTAACTATAAAATGTTTAATAATATTTTGATTATAAACGTTTACTTTTAGTTTAGGATTAGTTAATCGTGTCGTTGTTTAGTTTGATGTGTTGAATATCAGTATTCATCGAAGTTTATTGGACGGCTTATCGTTGACATACTGTACGTTAAAATCGTCGATTTAACGATAACACGGTATTATTTTCAAATTCTTTATCGATAAATCTAAAATACACAAGCCTGGAGTACATCAAGATTTCAATAACGGTATGCAGCTTAGACAAGGAAATTAGTGATATGGTAGCAGTAAAATAGGTACGTTGCGGGTCGTAAAAATGTTGTTCACACGATCGTGGCGAAAGAAAGAGCAGGTAAACAATTTTACCTTACGCGCTCGAAGGTGGTTGTCGGGGCTTAACGAGCGTATTATGACAAGCGGAGGAGTGTGAACACAGTACGCCGGCGGCACAGCAGGATGCATTTATGTCCTTAACACGTGTGCCGGCTGACGCTGCACATTAATGGCGTCCCGAAATCCCTTTTCCACATGAATTGCGTCTCAACGTAAAAACATAAATTTCCTTCCCATTTCATACAGACTTTGGACTATTGATAGCAAGTTATGACTATCGGTAGGTTAAAAATATTGATTTTTATCGTTGCTATGCAATTATATGTAAGTAAAATGAAATTTTTAGTTTAAAATTATAGGAATGTAATATAATAATTAAAATAAACAGTAATAAAAAAAGTTATAATTATAAAATTAAGAAATTAAAAAACTGGTAAAAACTTGAATACCTTCTTAATATAATCAAGACGGGTCAGTTGGTCACTTTCATATTTTGCCATATTTTGTCTTAAATAATCTTCTTTTTCACATACCATCATCCGTCTGTTTTTAATTACATGAATACTTCGTTATTTAATATAAGTTTATTTTTGTACATATTTTAAAAAATCTATAAATTGGAATATATTCGGGTGTGCTGAGTAAAACATACTGTTAAACTTGGAGTAAAAGGCTTCACAACTATTCGTAGTTCGAATTATAGAGCATGAATACATTGCCCACACAGAAAGCTGGAAGTCACAATCAGGTTTTATGTATATACTCGTATTTAATATATAATCAGAAAATTGCTGTACTTTTTCATCTTCGGGTAAAATTGATGCAATATCGTTCGTAAAACAATCCTACACTTCATCTTGTTTTAAAAATGGGAGACCAAAAAAATATTTTAAGAAAATACTGATATCTGAATTTTTTTGTATTCTTGACTTAAACCAACCGTTTGAATTTTCCTCCACCAACTTTGACCTAAATGAAACCTGCATCCTTTTATTTGAATTAACGGCCAAATTAAAATTATCATATGCTTTAAAGCACGTTCATCGTACATGTAATCATTTAAACACACCCGGACGCAATTCGTGTGGTAGATTAGATAAGGCCGGACGCATTTCGTGTACTTACTCGTTTATCAATTTTTTTATTTCGGGACGCAATTCGTGTGTAGCCCCGACTGGAGTAGCCGATGATACACAAGAGCACCTTAAAGTTATTGTTCCGTTGCTATTATAAAATACTGTCGTATAAATAATATACGTGTAGGTATACTTACGATGGTAAATAATAATAATAATAATAATAACATATATTGGCCAAAAAATAAATAAATATAATTTCAGTAGGGTACAATGATTATATATATAACATGGTTAGATGGCCCATCTCAGGATAACCTCTTATCGGTGATGATGAAGTACTATTAAGAGCTAATTAGTTAATTATACTTAAGTAGGTATATATTTATAAATTTTATAATATTTTAGATATTTCGTAAAAAACCGCGTCATATTTTACTATAATTCAAAAACATAAATATACATACCTATAGAACTAATTATTAATTAGAGCTATAGTATTACAGCATAAATTGCAATAAATAAATATAATATAAAAAAGTACATCAAAAATGGAAATAGATAAATAGACATCATTATATAGGTACACTGGTGTATTACATAGGGTATAGGTCACTAGTATTATTTAACAACCATAATTTAATAGTGTGTTTATATATTTTATGAGATGCACTGTTAATTAATTTGCAGCGGAATATCGTTTAATAATCTCAAACCCACTTGCAAAAAACATCTACTAGATTTTAATATACGAACAGTAGGTATTTATAAGTTGTTTTTTTGACGTGTGTTATAGTATCTAGGTTTAAACTCGATTAAATTTAATTTGTATGTGTAATATTGGGCATTTCTGTAGAATAATTGTTGCGTCGTAAAAACTTTAAATTCAAAATTGACAACAGATAAATGATGTATTTACTCGTTGCACTGTCCACAACGACGACAACAACAAACATAATGTGTTTGACAAGCGCTACATTTATACTCTACGCTCAGTTTTGTTAAGAATACTTTTTAAATGTATTCGTATTTAGAACACGTATTTAAATACTCATTTGTTGAAATAATAATGTTGTATTCCTTTTTTCCACTTCAAAAAGTTGACTCTAAAATTTTATTTTCCTGCCAGCAAAGACCCATTACACCTGTTACCATAATTATATTTACATTTAGTTTTATACATTTGATTTTTTTACCGTCAAAAGAAGAATACCACGATTGTAAGTAATCTGTAATTGAGAGAGGAACTTGTCAATCCGAATAAATAATCTTTGTTTTTCCATTTTTGCCAATTTTTTGATTAATACTTCTCTTGAAAAAAATTGTACCAATCGACAATATTAAAGTCAATAATCTAATTGAAAGTTCAACCTAAATGACCCTAATTTCGTATACCCAATATCAATACCATCATATGGCCAGTCCGAATAAACACTTTTTATTTTCATTTACAAATGTAAAAAAAAAAAAAATATATGATTTACTTTTATGATAATCATTAATGATTTTTAAATGAAGAATTTTTGTGATTTTTATCCCAAATTTTCTAGCATCAGCTTCATACAATAATACGTACAATAATCACGTTTTATCAATTTATAATGCAAGAATTTAAAACAAGAATTTAAATTTTATGGAATAATTTGACACAGACAGTATTGATAGAGTATTTAAATAAAATAAAAAAAAATAAATAATTATATGAAATGTTATTGAAGTTTATTAAGATCTTATTCTTAACTTATTATTGCATAACAATCATTCTTAACTTATTGCAAAAATATCTAAAATTATAGGACCTATTTCAAAAATTCTATCACCATTATAATGCTACATTATCCCTGAGTAATACAGGATATATTTATTATTAAAAAAAATTAGAAATCCTTACTAAAACTTCAATAATATAAATCAAAATTTGTTAAATATGATTATAGATCCCAGTGTCTCGAGTTCGAATCACGGTCTCGGCCTAATTATTTGCATTCTTTTTACATTTTTTTTATCTTTTTACTTATTAATTTTATAATTGGTCACGTCTCGGGAATGGTTTTAATGTTATTATAATTATAACATAAACAATAAAATAAATAAAAGAAATGGGTATTTTCTTCACACCGTCGTCGAATACGTTACGGTGATGGTGACAGTACTGCACAGTGGGAGAAATTGCCTTAATATCGGGTATACCAATGAATCCTACTGATTTACCTATACAGTTTAAGAGACTTCAATTCCTCATTAAATTTTCGTTGACTATTACATTTAATAAGGCTCAAGGCCAAACATTTCAATATGTTAGTATTGATTTACGCTTTTTTTCTCACATGGACAGTTAGATATGGGATTATCAAGAACAAGTAAGCCGGAAAATCAGTTTATTAAATTACCAAATGGTTTGAAAACAAAAAATGTTATTTCCTCTGAAGTATTTAAGTTTAAGTAAATATTTCAAAAACATTATAATACATGTACTAATGACATATAAATTAAGTTATTATTATCTTACGAGATTATTATATTATTTAAGAAAAAATGTCTAAAATTAAAAAAAAAAAAAAAAAAATTATAACAGAACAATCTAACTCGTACAACGATTTTTACGCGCAATGATGTGCACGGGGGATAACTAAACATATAAAAGAAGAAAAAATTGTAAATGATACAAAGATCATCGATTCAAATATACCTATGAAAAATATAGCAATAGCAAAGTTTTGCCGGGTCAGCTAGATGATTTAAAAAAAATCCTAAACACTCAGTACTATATCACACAGGATAATTTCATCACAAGTGAAATGTTTGACGCCCAGTAAAGTGGGCACGGGTCAGTTCGTTTTATTATACTATTAGTCGTATCCTGTTGTCATGGATAGTTCATTGGTTTATTTGAAATATATAAAACCTAGCAATAAAAAGGTACCAAAAGTAAGTTTGATACCTTTCATAATTCATTGGCAACTTTTTGTGTTGTATATTAGGGAAATAAGAAGCACTCATCGCGTGATGTTATTATTTATTGTTCGGGCCGGATTGTTATTTTACTACAGTATTTTTTTTTTTACTTATCTCATCATATTTTAAAAATAAGCATAATACAGTAAGTAATTATATTTATGGGAATACTTATAGTTTATGGGTAGGTATACTAAATATATATACAATAATTGTAAAATGTATTTTCGAGTGAAGTTAAAGTGAAAACATATTTTAAGGTGAATATTTAAAAGCAACTAAATCTTTATCTATATTATATGTTAACATGCTTTTTTTAAAAACATTGTGATTTGGTATTATTTGATCTTTCTTAGTGTTTAGCATAAAATTGAAACATATATTTTACATTTCAATCCGCACCTCATAAAAAATGACATATTATCAAGACAGGCAATTTTATAATTCAATAGATAACGGGTATTGAAGGGTTCAATTTCAGTTACGTGTTAGACGAATAAACAGATTTCTGTTTTATATATATTATTTATATTTATACAGATGAGTCATTCATTAAACTGGGTTTGATGGTAGTAGAATAATAATGTCCAACCTGTTTTAATATGTATAATATTATAAATATTTTATGTTTTTCTCTGTGCTTTTAACGGTATAATATGTTAATAAATGTTCTACGTTTATGTATTTTAATTATATTACTATAATTTATTATTATCGGTAATGTCAGTATTTTGAGCAATTATAAAAAGAGTAAAATACTTTACAACTTTAAAAATGTAAATTGAGGTTCGTCCTTTGTACATTGTCTTTGAAATATTTAAAAACAATGATATAGACCGATTTTTAGAGAGAATATTCAATCAGAGTAAAGGATAAACTTTTAATTATTATACGAGAATTATTATTAATATTATTATATTTATTGTTAAATCGTATGTACTTAATTTTTCTTATTTTTATTTAAATTAAAATATTTTTGGAATAGAAAATTAATTTATAAATTATTTAATAATATATGTATCTTCATTATTACAGCCGTACCACGAAAGTATTTAGTTCATGTTCAATTTCAAAAATTCTTAATGTCTACATCGATTATTAATTTAAATGGAAGTTTTTTATACACACATATTGTACAATACTATTGTATTCGTTACCATGTTCACTAAAGTGTTTGGATAATTTCATTAACAATAAATAATATAATTTTGAAATTTCAATCAATTTTGAACGTGAAGATTTTAAGTACCTACTATATTTAGCAATTTCTCGAAGAAAGTTAAAAAGTAATTTTAACCTCTAAAATATAAATAAAATAAAAAAACAGTATGAAAAGTAAGTAACTGCGAAAATCATGTGATAATTTTGGGTAATTTTTAAAAAATTAAATGATATTCAGTAAATAATATTAATGCAAAAGATGGAGAAAAATCACACAGACGTCGATTAACCCGACAAGTTTCTATGCACACTTTAAATGGTTTTAATGAACTTCGATTAAACGAAAAACTTTGTGATGCTTCATTAATACTAGATAGCGGAGACAAATTTCCGATACATCGATCAGTTTTGAGTGGTTCTAGTGATTACTTTAGGTGAGTACTTATAATAATGTTCAAAGTTCACATTATAACTAAAGCTAGTTAGTAACAGATAAATGTTCAGTATAATGTTACGAAGAGACCATTGTTTATTACTTTTAATATTATATTATATATTTCTATATTATTTATTAAAGTTACATCTACATGCTAAATAAATGAATTAACTATAAATTATATTATAACGACTGTTATGTAAATAGTAATATACAGAAATAACTTGAAAATCATTTGATTTCTTACTATCTAGATTTATTGATCAGGTTTGTATTAAATAGTTTAATTTATTGAACACAGTGGTGGACGCAGGGAAGGGTTTTGGGGGTTCAAACCCTCCCCCCATATGAATGGATGATTAATTTCAAACGTAGTTATCTTACCTTATGTACCTTAAAAAAAATGAATTTTTCAAAATACAATTAAAATATGCTAAAAAAAAAAAATGTTTTGCTAAGAAAAGTGAATTTGTAATTTTCCAAACGTTCTAAAAAGTATTTATACTTAAAACTCAAATTTTTGAAATTCCATGATGGCAATACTTCGTTAAAATAATGCGTATTTGTAAGTCGCTTATTATCAATAAGTAAAAATTAGTAAATATATGTAATCGATATAATAGTATTTACAAAGGTACATTATGATTGACGGGTTTCCCTAAATTTTGTGTTGTATGATCATGTGATAACGATCGACAATAGTCAATCTATAGTCAATAGTTAATTATTTCAAAATAACGGTAATCAGGCCCGTATTTAGAGGGGGCACGGGTAGGCACATGTTCGAGGGTGTCAAGTCCAGGGGTGGCAAAATATTTTAGTAAAATTTATTTTAAAAATTATGTAGGTACCTAATGAAAAATAAAAATAAAAAAATAAAAAAAGAAAATAGTATATTTTATTATGTTATAATTTGTTTAATTTGTTAATTAAAAAAAGTATTAAACTATTTTCATTTATAAGTTATATTTTAATATTAAAGGATCTCGATTATGGACGAAATAATGTGTGTTATATTATTATTTGGGGGGGGGGGGGGGGGGTAAAAAAATAGTATGCCCGGGGGTGCCAAATTTTTAAAAACGGGCCTGACGGTAATTATTCTTATTTTTCAAACCCCCTCCCTCGAAATTTTTTCTGTGTCCGCCCCTGATTGAACAATTGATTTATTTAGTACAGACGAAGAATTATTATTTAAATACACGGAGTTTAAAATTTATTTTATTTATTCATATGACAATAACAAAAAACTAGTAATGTGTTCAAAATTACACACGTTTATACAGTGATACGTTTTAGTTAATTTCGATTACATTTAAAACCCTATAGTTCTATACATAACTTATCAAGTACATTATCTAACGCCTATTAGTTTATATTGCTGTGAATAACCGATTATGTTTAGAATACTTTTCACCACCACTTTACATGAAGGAGACTATACGAAAATAAATTTGAAATTGTTGGAAAGCGCTACGATGGAACTGGTTCTGCAGTACATTTACTTGAGACAGATAGATATCAACTATGATAATGTACTGGATATAATGTGGACGGCCGACTATTTGTGCATAGACGGCTTGGTGCAACTATGCCATCAGTTCCTCGTCGAGTACATGGGACCCAAAAACTGTGTGACATTATTGCAATTTGCTGAGTATGTAATAAAATATCACGATAATTTCACAACGTTGTGATGTATTACATAGGTAAGTGAATATATACTCCATACGGTAATGTGTCATCTACAGTTACTACTACTTCGGCCCATTAATTGAAGCGTCGTACAAATATATCGTCAAAGAGTTTATGACTATTGCCGAGCAAGGCGATGAGCTGATGAAGCTCAAAAAAGAAGAATTCAGGCTGATCATCGAGAACAGCCAGTTAAACGTGAAACGCGAAGAGTGTGTTTGGGACGTTTTACTGAAATGGGTCGACCAGGATCCTCAAAGTCGAATAAAAGATTTGGTCTATCTATTGCCCAGAGTTCGTTTCGGCCTCATGGATTCCAAATATTTTATCGAGAACGTTAGTATGCTAAATGTTATCATGCAACTGATATCATTCGTAAACACCTTGTGGATGGTAAACAATGGACCACATGACTACCAGTACATAACGGTGTTTGTGTTTCAGGTTAAAGACCATCGTTACATTCAGAACCGTGCCGATTGCAGACCTTACATAATAGAGACTTTAAAGTTTCTGTATGACCTGCAGTTGGCTCCGAACATGACGAATTCCATAGCACCGATGCTTGCTCGGCCCAGGTACCCGTTCGAAGTGCTGTTCGCCATCGGTGGTTGGAGTGGTGGCAGTCCGACCGCGATCATCGAAACGTATGATACGAAGTCGGATCGTTGGACGCGCATACACAACGAAGACCCGCACGGGCCCAGGGCGTACCACGGCACGATCGTCATGAACAATGAAATCTATATCATCGGAGGGTTCGATGGACTGGAATATTTTAATTCGTGTAGAAAGTTCAACACGGATACCAAACTATGGGACGAAGTAGCGCCGATGAACTCTAAAAGGTATCGTGTCCCATTACGTATTTACGTGCAGTTTATTTGCTGTTATGCGATTTTAACCAAACCTATGCTCTCAATAATGTCGCAGGTGATTCAGTAAACGTTATTCGTTGTATTATAACAATATCATTTCGTGATAATACAACTTTATCGCGCCTATTATAATATCTTAACGCAAAATAATGAACGCGTCTTATTAATTTGCTTGATTGGCATACAAATTAAAATTCGGAACGAATAAATAATAAACGTACATAAATGTGTTCTTTTATGGCACATCTTCAGATATCACTAAAAACATTACCAACAATTTGTTTTCTTTAATTAGATGTTATGTCAGCGTGGTATTGTTGAATAATACCATTTACGCGATGGGTGGGTTCGACGGTCATCACCGACTGGGCTCAGCCGAAAAATACAATTTTGAACGAAACCAATGGACTCTGATAGCCCCGATGACTACTCAGAGAAGTGACGCCTGTGCCGCTGTGCTCAATAGTAAGTATGACAAAACAAAAATCAATAGACGAACTATTTTTATGTTCAATGCTAACGTTCATCAGCACAGGCGCAACCAGACCTCTAAAACGTGGGGTGCTAAATCTGTGAATGCATCACAGAACCTAAATAATATTTTATTGGTACATTTTAAATCAGCAAAATTTTTCTGAATTTCATGCAATATTTATTCAAAATAGTTTTGGTGTTTAGCTAATTTATTGACAGTATATTACAGTACCTGTAATGTATACCTTATCGTTAATCGTCTGACAATTATAGGAATATCCGAATATAGAATGAATTACGATGAATCATATTATATGACTTACGACCAAATAGTAAACAAACATTTTAAAACCAAACATTTTTCAGGAAATTTTTCATAGTTTAAAAACATAAAATTCATGTTATTTCACTAAAATAATAATTATATATATATATATATATATATATATAACTTATTAATTATATTACTTATATTGTTCTTAAGATGTTGATTATTTCTTTTATTAATTTCTTCTCCTTCGCCTTTCAACTATTTCGGATCGGCCACCCTTGTTCTAAACCCCCACTGGTCTCGATTTTCTACATCCCCTACGCACATTATTTATTTTATTAATTTAATAAATAAAAACAAGTAGTTATATAGAACTTTTCTTATGTAGTCTCTTTATAGCATATATATATATATATATATATATATAAATATTTGGTAGAGGGGATGGATGGGAGCGTTAAAATAATTCTTGGAGTTGATTATGCTAGGCGTGGTATTGATTGTGAAGGGAGCGAGCACTAGCGCCTGGCTTAGAAAAAAAAATTAACAATGTAAGATAAAGGCTACTGCTATCATTATCGGACTTTCCAGTAGTCCGGCATCGTAGTTGTCGAAAGAAAAACTGAAACTAATCTCGCGCTATCCCAAAAAATCGGCGCACGCGCTGCGGTACACGAGACGCAACCCCGGGGTAAAACTCTCGGCGGCGCTCACCGACGTTATGATACGTTATTACGTGTACGGTTTTTTTTTTCTTTCTCGTTCCGATCGCGGGAACAGACAAGATATACATCACCGGTGGCTTCAACGGGCAAGAGTGCATGAGTACGGTGGAAACGTACAACGTTGACACGAACGAGTGGACACTGTTGCCGCCCATGCAGACCAGGCGCAGCGGCGTGTCGTGCATAGCGTACCACAACTCGCTGTACGTGATCGGCGGCTTCAACGGGTTGTCGCGGATGACCAGCGGCGAGCGGTACAGCCCGGAAACGAACCGGTGGACGCCGGTGGTGGACATGTGCAACCCCCGGAGCAATTTCGCCATCGAGGTGCTGGACGACATGATATTCGTGGCCGGCGGTTTCAACGGGGTGACGACCATACCGCAGGTGGAGTGCTACAACGACCGCACGGACGAATGGTACGCCTACCCCTAAGATTATTGCGTAGTGCGCGCGAGACCACGGCTTACACATCTGCTCGTTCCTTCGCTCGGCTCCTTTAGTCCCATACCCAGTGTTTGATTTGAGAGGGGAAGCAGGGGGACGGAGTAGCACCCCAACTAATTTTCAGAAATGTTAGCGTCCCCCTGCTATAATTACGTTATAATTATAACGCTTGACAAGTCTTGAGGACGCTATTTTTCTTTAAAGTAAACAGTAGTCCCCCTTTTTTAATTTTTCCAAGTTGAGCACTGCCCACACCTCCTCCCATTTCTTTCTCTGACTCTTTCTCTCGTACGTTTACCGGTAAGACTGCGTTCGACGAACCAAGTGCTCCTTCCCCCCCCCCCCCGTGCTGATTGGCTTCTCTGGCCGATGCAAAATGGTAACGATTTTTGCTCTGGCGTTCCGGTGAGCGTTTTTGTTGCTTGAAAATATTCCACGTTTTCGGGAACGATTCACTAGTGACTTTGTTTTTGTTAGTATTCGTAATTGTTGTGTGATCACAAAACATGTTCGTTTGACTGGAAACATGATCAATTCGTCCACGTTTCATGGTCAGGTCCGAAAATTCTATTTGTCTCGTCTCCACAGATATACAGAGACGTATTCAGAGGTCTTTGCCGTCCCAGGCAGTATACCTATAACCACTACTACAATACTCCTTACTCAAAAAAAAAAAAAAAGAAAACATTTATTGTTATTCTCGTACACCGTGTACTATTACGAAATCATAACGCTAGTTATTTTTAATTTTCTATAGTATTATGCACTGAAATCTATCGTTTTAGTAAGACGCACGTGTACAGTACAGTTAACTTCTTCCACGAATTCACTTCACTTGCAGTAATCACATTACGTGAAGGTATCGTTGACCTCCTGTACAAACTATCGAGTGGTACTCGACGACAACCATACCATATCGGTATTTGTTTTTAAACTATTTTTTCAAGAAGATTATGATACGTATCATCTACGAACAATTTAAAAATTAAATATTGTTATAAGACTACTGGAAATCATTGATAATGATGTTCTCGACACTCCTGTGTAGTAGGCCTTAGCACCTTTAAGCCCGTAATATGTACGATGAATTGAAGGGAGTGGAGTTTTACTGTATGCACGTGTAAGACTAATCGACTGATTCCCGCCTAATTGTCGCCCACTTATAGATCCCTCATATATAATGTGTTTGAACATACAAAAATGCAAGTGGTATTAACCGTGAGAAAACGCATCTTATAATCCTACAAATATTACTAACCGATAAACTCATGTTCGTTTTTTTTCCTGGTGCTCACCCGTTCTTCTATATCTCGTCTCGTTGCGTTTATTTTATATGTGTACTTAATGGAAGGAACGACATAACGCGTGGTGTCGGTTAGTTTGAATTATTCGATCGTTGCGTCATCTCAGTTCAAATCTGAATGTTGAAAAAAACCTGTCCGTAGATAAAAAGTCGTACTTGTTTCCTTGAGTTTTCTTAGCTCCCACATTCAAGTATCTAATTACAACTCGCATCATAGATTAATAAAGTGGTTTCCAGTAGGTGGTCGTTGGGTTCCCTGCCGTTGTCTAAATGAGTACTCATAAATCTCTTTACATTGCATTTATCGAGAACATTTGCGTTCGTAATACGAAACAAAAAAGGTGTGAAAACAAACCATAAGAATATTTTATTTTTTTTTTATTTTCGTTAGCTCGAACAAAACAAAAAGAGGTCCCCATTCCTATTCAAATTTTAGCTAAGACTCCGTGACTTCATATCTTCATTGGGATCCAATACCCAAAAATAATAAAACATATATTATTATAATTTTTAAATTATTTCCGTGTCACCTTGTGCACCTACTAACGGCGTCGATACGTTAATCGCTTAAGGTTTGAGGCGAAAAGTATGCATGTGTTTAGATCGGCACTGTCGGCGTGCGTTATGAAGAACTTGCAGGACGTCGAATACTTCATGCCGCTGGACCGCGACCGGTTGTCCGAGGAAGGCCGGAAAAACATCGAGAGGAACAACCGACCCGCAATCGGCACCAATAGTAACGATTCCGAGGACCTGGACGCCGAGAACCAATCCATCGCCACCTATCGGACCCTCCAACCAAGGCTCAATTTAACATTGGAAATCCTCGTAGACGATGAAGAAGTGGCGTGGGTCAACGAAGAAAACATAGACGAATAATAATTATTAACGAGCATACGTCGGCGGCGGTTGAAACGCGTTTCCACGCCACGTCCCCTTACTCTTCCACAAACCTGAATAAGACGCAAAATAAACAGTTAACAACAATAATAATTAATAACAATAGATACCATCTACGTAGTGGGGAGGGGGGAGCACACATCTGCGATACAACATTGCCCCGTCCGTGAAACACACTAAGGTGCTAATGAAATCGCGCCAATCGGATACCTAACGTTGATCGCAATATACAATAATGTGTTTCTCGTTTTGAAAAAATATAATACTTGATAAACGCATAATGAGCTGCCGGTCGAACTGATTGTGTGAAAAAATAAAATTATATTTTTTTCATAACCAGACCAAATATATATATATATATATATAGCCTATATATGCTCTGATTTTCAAAACCAAAATGCAGTGCAACTATGTACTACCATTTTATCATAATTAAAATAAACTGTAGGACGTTTTCATATTTATTTAATTCGCACACAGATATTTGACATAAATTGCGTAGTACTCATACGTAGACGCCTCTAGAGATCTTGATCATAAATGATTATTATTATTATTAATATTTTTTACCAATACTGTTTATTTTAATCGTATTAACTGGTGATGCTTGTAATACAAGCCTCGTACCATTTTATGAAAATATATTGCATATGCTTAGATACGTTTATTATAAGCATATAGTCCTCGAGTATCCTTAGTCTAGGCCCAGTAATTTGCCTAATGGCATTAAATCGAAAAAATATGTATATAATTTATAAGAGAATTAAAATCATGTTTTTTTTTTTTTACATGTTTTTTCATACAACTGTCAAATAAATTAGAAAATATTTGGTATTTGCTAAAAAAAAAAATCAAATATTTGTATGTACAGGTAGGTACACAATAAATAAATACGTAGACTAATGTCGAATTTTATATCAGATGCAATAATTATTTTTACTGGCATTATACTCGTATTATTACTTATTACTTGATATCGCTTACGTAATTACTTAATAATCGATTAATAATATCGGATGAAAAGTTACTATTGCCTTTCTCCGATTCTAAACATAATATAGAACTATAAAAAATTTAGCAATATACTAAAGTTGGGTGTAGGTATTAGTTCTTCGTTATAATAAATTGTACATTGATTATATTGATTGTTTAAATTTGAAAACACCAAAAATCATTAATACGTAATAAAATCAATTGTGAAGGTATCAAATTGCATTGTTTAAACTTTAAAGTATCTACCAAAAGGAATAAAAAAATTTTTCTAAATAAAATGCCATTAGTTTTACGTATATGAATTTCAAATTGTAAAACTCCAAACTACGCACGTTAATTATTTATCAAAAGAAATAAGAACGGTTTTAGGACGAAATGATGTATTATTTTCAAGTTTTTTATGAATTTATTTCAGTTATTTGTACAATTTTATCATAAAGTAAATATGTTTATCAAAAGCCGTAGAAGTATTTATTCTTCTTATACCTACGCGTAAAGATATGAACCACACGTTAGTACTCAAAACACAAATATATGAAAGTTTAAACAATTACCAATTACTTACACACCTTCTATAAATGTTTTATAAGCGTTTCCAGACACACGTTAAAGTGAAATAGTTGTAGTCAGGAAAATGTAATAAAGACAGATAGGTCATATTGGTACATATATATATATGTGTACATACATAATATATATATATATATATATATATATATATATTAGGGCGGTCCTTAGTTATAGGAGAAAAAAAAAGGTCAATATTTTTAATCCATGTACCCACCATTTTGATTATTACCATAAGAAAAAATATTAGGCTGAATTTGGCTAAAAAATTGGTTAATTTGACAACACGCATATTGTGAAATAAAACCAGTGATGTATTAGTAAATATATTTATGGGTATACGTACTAAAAAAATATGGATATTAATCCTAAAATAAATTTTCTAGATGCCACTCGACAGTTGTTTTCTCTCGATACGTTCGAAAATATTTAATTAATCCTTTGTAACTACATGTTTATAATTTCTATTAAGACTATAAAAATGATTTAAATAAATACTATAAAATATAACACCACTAGATATACATTTGCAGCACATTATAAATTGCATGATGCAGATTTAAGAATCATGGACTGAATGTTTACACTATACTATTTTATTCAATGTTATTCACTACAGTTAACAAGATATACAGCACACACTGTAATCTTCAACAGCTAAATATTTCATTAAATTTCATGGTTCATATTAATTTTTTCCAATGAACTATTAAATTATTATTATTATTTTTGTTTTCGAGTTATTTTAGAAGCGTATACCAGTAAAATAATATTTTACATTAGGTATACGCCGATAATCGAAAATCTGCTGATAGGTATACGCCTTATGCCAATACACCCTTGCCTCTAACGATATTTTATTTTTGTAATTCTCATAACTCATAACTTATTAATAAAGCAATCATATTAGTTGTATAACAACTATAAAATGCACAAACCACATAAAATAATGTATTTATTGCCAATTTATAACTTATGTCTGGTGTATTACTACTAATGTTTCATCAGTGTTCACCGAAATTATTTTTGATGAGGCAGGCCATACGGGTTCCGCGCCCACAAATCCGACGTATTTTCGTAGTATACATCTATTGCGCCGGTATAACAACTATACAGTACAAGTAAAAATAATGGCTAAAAACAAAAATTAAAATTAAAATCAAACTTATCATTCTACATAATTGGTATTTACACTAATAGTATATTATATATTTGCACTTATCCTAAAAATTTTGAAAAGTTCTTAAGTCTAATTGTTTGCGCCGATATGTCCAGGCAGCTACGGTGATGCTCATCAAATTATTATTTGTGATATGCGCACGTCGGTTACGGCGCACTCTTATCGGTCCTCTGGTTCCATTATTATCATTATTAAATTGTAATATTTAAATTATTGTTATTGCATTTATATTATTATTATTTTATATCTCTGAGTTATAATCTTTTGGTCGCAATTGTTGCACCATATATTTAATGTAAAAATATTTTTGTCGTTTTTCGGTCGTTATTGTAACACCACGTACTTTTTCATTTGTCTCTCGTCATTGAGATTTTTTATATTATTCATATTAAATGAATTATTTCTTCTTATTATTATAGTATTATAAATATTCATTATTATTATTGTCACTGGCCATCGCCGTACAAATCGATTTGTGTCAAATATTTAAATTCATATTACCAATAAATTAATTTGATTACCAATAACCTGTATTTGTATAAGTCGTCGTGTGTATTGTGATGTTCAATTCCTGTTCCAGTAATCCATCGTGAATTCTTCAATCATCGTTACCATTTTAGTTACCAGCGTAAGCCGTCATAAATGTTGTAAGTGTTAGTTTTTTAAGCGTGGCTTGATTGTTTAATTTTAGATGCTCGGAATACTGGTACGGTCCATACCATTTATAACATAAGAAATAAAAAACGCGGAAAACTGGTACTATTCAAAATTTAATTTTCAGTGGTCCTAAAATATTACTATTTTTTACAACAACTATCTCCTCTATTTTGTTTTTAACTGTGCACTTATGTGAAATTTCATTTGAATAATTTACGTACTGGAATTTCAATTAGTTCCATAAATATATTATAATATAATAATATTATAACTTACCGGTTTGATCAAATTAGTTGTAACTTTTCCCGGGCATTTCAAATTTGTGTTTTGTGTGCATTTCCACCTGATAGAATTATTATTCTTCCTCAAAACCACATAAGAATATTTCTTATATACTATTAGCTCTGAGCCTATTTGACTTTCTAACCTAACCTACATAATACTATATTTAAAATTATATTACAATTAACAATTAATTATTACAATTATATATTACAATTAATTATTAATTATATTACATTAAATAACTCATTAAATTAAAATATTTTTTAATAAATTTAATGAAATACCGATTGACTAGTTAACCCTATGAAATTTTCTCAAATTACTTTTTTAAAACAAATTACATTTTAGACAATATTCACAAAAGAATTTATTATACCATCAATCAATCATCAAAAATACTTAAATGAACGCTGAAAATTAATTATTCAAAACATAATAAATATTTTTTAATTTAAATATTTTCCTAGAAAATAACGAATTTTGGAGAAAATTTGTTAAGACATTTCTTATAGAAAATTATAATTTCTAAAATAAAGGTACTATAGTATTTTACGATAAATGCTTTGGATTTACACTTAAATGCGAAAATCTATTCAACTACCCTATTTAGCCATTTTTTAAAAGGGACGTGAAGGGGATGAGTTATCAAAACTAAATTTGGTCTAATTTTTTTTTCTCATGGTAATAAACAAATCGGCGGATACCTGGATTAAAATTTTTAAAGTTGAAAAATTAGTACCACTCTAATATATATATTTTATTTTTTTTTTTAAACAAGCTGTGTCTACGTGATTACATGACAAATAATGTAGCCTGTTAAATTTGGCTTAGTGCCGTCAAGAACTCTAAAACAACATTATATAATAAAATAATCTTCAATTTTCGAAATATGTTAGCGGTGTAGTACCATAAAATAATTAAATGTGAATCTTTTTTGTTCGTACCATAACGATATTTAACTGAAACTGTGATTATGAGTAAGTATAAGCATTGGATAGCCAAGGGCGTATTTTAGGGAGGTGAAGGGGGCATAAGCCCCCTATGGCTCGTACTTCTTTTAAATACAATATATTGATTTATTTAAAAAATGTAATGTATAAATAATTAAGAATATAAATTACTAGTTTATCACTATATGATACTAAATTAGATAATACAGTATTTTAATAAATATAAATTATTATTCATAAGGTATAATTGTATCCATTGATGAAATAATCAACAAATTTGCCCAAATGAAAAAAAGGAATTTGGAATTTGTTATTTAACTACTTACTAACCTTATGCTTTTTACTCAGATATTTGTTAAATTAAGTTACCTATCTCAATTGTTTTTTAAAGTTTTTAAAAAATAATTAATAGGTATTATTACTGCTATGATTATTTGAAGTCTTTTTTATACAGAATTCAGACTGGTAGAATTTTAATATAGGAACTATTTGTGTTGTTATTATTAATACTTATTTTATATGCAGTAGGTTTTAAATATATTTATTAAATAAATATTTAATTCAATTTGGTACTTGAATTTTTATTTATTTACTCGAATGAGTAACAGAAATATGAGCTGTAAATTATTTTTAAGTTTGTATAGAAGAAAAATTAGTTCTAAGTGATTATAATTAATAATAACAATTTAATGATTATTTTGAATTATTTGATGATTAGTAATGATTAATTAAATGATTATTTAAAGGTATGGTGACAAAGCCTCAAATTATAATGTTTGGTTAAAAATAGTCGGGCCCTCTCACCATTAAAATTTTCCATTTGCGCCAATGAATAGTCAATATTTGATTGCCGCCCAGTCAAAGTTATATTAATTTGTTGTCATAAATTATGCTACGATAAACGCCATAACGAGTGTCACTCGTCACCCTTGTCAAAAAAAAAAAAGAATACAAATAATCAGAGGTGGATTTCCCATTAGGTACTGTAGGCAGCTGTCTAGGGCGGAAAAATTTGGGGGCGACAAATTCTGTAGTATTTTATTAAAAAACATCAAACGTATGAAAAATATTGGAAAATTAATTACTTTATATTTACTAAAAATAATTGTATAATAATGTGTGCATTTTGTTAATTTGTTATCATCGGAATTTCGGAGAAAAATAAATACCCATACTGACACACTAATATTACTAATTCGACTGTATATTAATAATCCTATGTTGTTATTATGAAAATCTGTTTTTATTAAAATTTAGTGGACATCCACTGACATTTTTTCACAGTAGACTAATTAATAAAAGCAAAAAAAATAGTCTAAACATTCAAATGGATGTAGTTACATATGTTTATATATTTAATATATAGATTAGATATTTTGGAAGGGGTAATTTAACTTTTTTTAAAACAAATTCATGCTCCTCATAGAGGTTCTTAATTCAATATAAATAACTGGATGTTCAAAAATTAATTATTGATTGTCGTATTACTAAGGTTTTTAAATCATATCACAAAATAATGAATTCCACAAGCCCAATAAATGATACATATTAAGCTTCTTAAACAATTCATCAATAATTTAGTAACTGTAATAAGCAGAGCTCATGAGTTCATGCTCTAAAAAATGCCTAAATAAGTATGCGTTTATGCACTAAAAGCTGGGAAAATATGCATTGAAATATGCCTTTAAAAGTTCAGAAATATGCATTTATATGCACTAAAAATATGTAGATTAAAAAATAAAAATACTATAAGTAAATTTTTGAATAACAAAAAAATGTCTATTCATATTATTAAGTTTATTGAAAGTTATATTTTATTAATAATAATAAAATCTTTAAACTGCGGATTGTTCAACTTGTTTAACGGAATAGTAACTTCTAACATAGCTTTGCACAAAACAAAATTAAAGTCTGATTTTTTCGAAGTTGTAGATATAAGTTGTTGCAAATATTTTCTATCCTTAATTTTTTTCATTCGGTAAAGTGATGTTTTGTGTTTCTCAGTATTAATATATTGCACAACACTAAAGGTGCGGCCCCACTGGAAGCGATTCTGAGTTTCTGCGTTTCGAGCGTTTCTGCGATTTTACACGCGCGATGTCCACTAGCGATTTTACATGCGTTTCTACAATTTTACGTCACGCGTGTTCGTTTTATTTTTCATTAGTTTATTCGATCCTCAATCAAGATGACGTCCAGAAAAATGTTGCTGGCTGAATGTGCTGCTTTAATTGACATTATAGTAAATTATCATCCATGTCGAGATCTTTTCCAACGTTGGACCAACATTTTTGGATCTTAGTCCTATTACTGTGGTCTGGATGTCTAGGATTCTAAATAGCTTTCTGTACGAAGACAGCGGCAGCTATTTGTTCGGACACAACCGACGCAGAAGACATTTTTACAGCGATTAATCTCGCCGAATATCAAACTATTTTGTTCTTTCAGCGATTACCGCGCGTGTAAAGCTACACGCGACACGCGCTCAGTGGGGCCACTATATATGAGTTACATACTTTTTTTAAAATCGCTAAAACGCAATATCGCTACACGCTATCGCTAAAACGCAAATCGCTTCCAGTGGGGCCGCACCTTAACGCGTTCTACACTCGCGACTTTTGCTTGCAAACCTAATAAAATAATATTTTGTTCCCGGCCGAGAATATATTTTCACCAAATTCATTTACTAATTGTCTTAGTTTACAGGCCGATGACGGTTTTTCTTTCGGCATGATCGATAATTTCAAAACGAAGTTAAAAAATATATAAGATTTTCGAAATATTGTTAAATTGAACGAACGTCCGTACACTATGTCACAATAACGACTCAAATATAGTCTAGAATAACTGTAAAAGTATCAAGAAGATAAGAGTAAAGACATATAACATAACATGTTTTCCACTAATTGCTTAATGCGGGCTACGTACCTATACATACGTTTGTACTCGCTTTATCTGCCCTATACATTTTATTTTTAATAATAATTTGATGTTGTGTAAACTCCCATATATTTTATTCTGTGTAAAAATATAAATTATTGCATTTTGATCAAATTTCGGTAAAAATACGCACAATAATATAGAAAAACGCATAAATATGCCAAATAGTTAAAAAACCTCTAAATATGCAACATAAAATTTTACATACTTAACCACAGTACCTTGGAATGAATTTCTATGTCACCTAGCATTAAATACGACTTAGCAAGATTGATATGCAAATGCATGAACTCACGAGCCCTGGTAATAAGTAATACAATTAAAATTTAATGTTATCTCCTTCATCTTATTCAAATAATATTGAAAATAACAAAAAGTAAGACTGTTTTTGCCAATATAATGTATTCCAGTTTATTTTAAGATATGTTTACTACAAATGTATTGTATTGTAGAAATTAAATATTTTTTTTTTTTTAGATTACAATATACTTTATTCACTGGTAAGAGAGGAGAGGACAGAAGAATTCTAAACCAATATAATTTCATCAACAACGCAAAAACAAAATAAATGTTATAAAATCAAATAATGTCAATAAAACACTAAACAACAAGAATTCACATAAGTCTTTGTAGATAATACTATACAAAAAGAAAAGAAAAAAGTAGTACAATAAAAATAAAATTCAACAAGTTATTGCAATATAACAACCCATTAGATATTTATATGGCAACCATTAAGAATGTATTACGTAATAAAAGATAAGTTTCAGAATATTGTAAAGTTGACAATCCTCTGGCTCCGTGTGTAAATTGGAATATAAGTCAAGTTGAGAATAGTAAGACTGTTTACCCATAACCAAAGATTAAAAACCAAAATAATAGTTTAAACAATTGAACTTGTTCAACAAAATTAATGAGTTAAGTTAAACATGAAAACTGATTTTAAGCAGATGCATTAATTAATTGATAACAGTTGGGAACTAGGCATGACTCGATGGTAATCCTACAGTTGTTTTGAATGCTACTGTTGATTCTATCGCACAGAGGTTTTCCCTTGCACATGCTGCAATGAGCCTAAAAACAAAATTATCAATTATTAACTGAGGTAGATCAGTTCCATTTTTATTGTTTTCTATATTCAAAATTATCATAAAAGTAATCACTACTCCTTACAGTTTTGATTGGAATGCCAAGTTTAACCCAAACATCAAGCATATCATTAACAAGTTTATCAACCATTTCAGCAGTATGGTGCGGTGTTGGTGCCAATCTCAACTTTTCTTGACCAATAGGTACAGTGGGATAGTTAATGGCTTGAACATAATGTCCTTTTTCTTGAAGTAGTAGATCTGATATTTTTGAACACAAATTAGCGTTACCAATCTGTGAAAAAATAATTTATAACATTTAATAAAATTAATTTGTCAATTTTTATTTAATAATACTGACCTTAATGGGTATGATGTGTGATGGAGTTGATTCTACTGGTAAACCAGCATCATATAATTTTTGTCGGAGATATTGAACGTTCTTTTGATGTTTTGTTCTTAGTAACCGACCTTCAGCTGAGGCAAGTACACCAACAGCTGCTCGAGCACCAGCTAAGACCATAGGTGGTAATGATGTGGTAAATATGAAACCTGCTGCATAACTACGGATCATGTCGATTAAATTGCTTGAACCGGCTACATATCCACCTACATTGCCATAAGCTTTACCTAAAAAAAAAAAAAAAAAATTAACTGTTATATTTTATTAATTCCATTAACCCTAATAAAATATTGTATGTATTAACCTAATGTTCCAGATATAATGTCCATTTTATGCATTAGACCACGTAATTCACCAATACCAGCTCCGTGATCACCGTATAAACCTACAGCATGAACTTCATCTACAAAAGTCAACGCTCCATACTTATGAGATATCTAAAAATAAAAATAAAACACATTAATAAGATTATTTTATGTAACTTATACATTTAATGACCTCGCATAGCTCTTCAAGAGGACAAATTGCACCAGTCATCGAGTGAACTGTTTCAAATGCAACTATTTTAGGTACAGATGGATCGACAGATATCAAAAGTTCTTCTAAATGTTTTGGGTCATTGTGTCGGAATATATGCTTGGGAGCTCCACAATTTCGAATGCCTTGTATCATCGAAGCATGATTACCAGAATCCGAAAATATATGTACTCCTTAGAAGTTTAACAATAAATTATTATTAATAAAAATTAAATTATTAATAAGTCAATTATTACTAATTAATAACCTACCTGGTATCATTTTTCCCAAAGTAAATAATGTAGAGTCATTTGCAACAAAACATGATGTAAACAATAAGGCAGCTTCTTTCTTGTGGAGCGCAGCTAAATCTTTTTCCAAATTTTCATGAAACATGGAATTTCCAGAAATATTACGAGTACCTCCTGCACCAGACCCAAATTTGTCTAAGGTTTGCCTGATAATACAAAAAACATATATTGTAAATTAATGAAAATAAATTATTTATTAATTAAGAAATAAATAAACAGCAGACTCACTGAACAGCACTCTTTACAACATGATGACAAGACATACCAAGATAATCATTTGAACACCAAACCGTAACCGGTTTTTCATTTCCTGTATATTCTAAAGCATATGGAAAATCCAGAGCCAGTCTATTTACTTTTTTGAAAACCCTGTAAGAATGGTCCACTTTTTTACGCATTATTTGCTCATGGAAAAATTTTTCATAATTGTAATTAATTTCTGTAAAGCAAATAAATAATTTAATTATTATCAGACTATTTTGTCCATAAAAATATAGAGTGCCTGAAATAAAATGCAGGATTTAAATCTGCTATAAATTAAATTTATTTCTTTTAAAAAATCATAACAAATATATCATTCTATTCAGGAAAAATTAAGGTTCAACAGTGAAAAAGAATATAGGTCATATAACCCTCCTTACTAGCCCTACAGGTGATTATTCTTTCCATAACATTTACCATCCCAGGATAACACATTGTCCCATCAATTTCGATGAGGACAAAAAGAATTTCTCTTCTTGTTTTTTAAAAGAAATACATTTAATTTATATCAGATTTAAATCATGTATTCTTTTTGAAACAACCTATACAACCTTGTAAAATAAATATGGATGAATATGATATACTTAATACTAATACCATATTAATATTATGCTAATATCATTAATCATATATTTTGTTATTTTAAATTACATAACCATTTAGTTTTATTAAAAACGTAATTAAATTAACCAATAAACTAATTTATATTGATTAAATATTTTCAATACATCTATAAAAAGTACATTTATTATTGGTATTTTAACTATCTACATCAAAATAATTATGCAAATAATTCATTTTATTATATACATTGAGTACCTACAATGGTAGGAAAATAATCAATTGGTTTAATAGAATGCTCAAAATTAAATATTTAAATGATACATATATGGAAATAATATTGAATTAAAATTAAAATGTTTGTCTAAGTATAACTATTTTATTTATTTTTCAATTATTTTAATGTACCTATAACGATAAGTTACATTTATGAAATAAGAATTTAGTTTAAGGATAAAAAAAATCCGTAGTAAATTGATAAAAAATTAAATACATCCTTGTCTATTTAATACTAACCGATTAAACAAAAACTAATAATTACTTAATCTAATTCAAAATACAATCAATTGTTCATAATATTTTTGAATTATTATTTCTGCATTGTATATTTTGGCATTCAATTAAAACAAGGTTTGATTAACAAACAATTAACAACAAATTAATTTACATAATAGACAAAAATATTATTAAATTGTGCTGCTACATCTGGTCTTTGAATATTCATATTTTAAATAAATATGAGCATTATAATAATGTATAATTTTACAGTAGTACAAAGTGATTGGAGTAAAATACCTTTTACATACTTGAAATACAAATTAGGAAACAAAAAATAAAATAATTTGATTTATGACATGACGGAACTATATATTTTTTAACTAAATTTTGCATTTGTTTAAAAATTATATTATTTTTTTCTAATATATTTGTAGGTACTATAGTAATATTACTATGTTTAATGTTGTCTTTCATAATAAAATTAATTTTAAACTATAGAGAGTGTTTAAATTATTATTATTATTATTATTATTATTATATTAAGAAATACTATAAAATGTAACACAAAAAATTATATTTCAAATACTTGACATGATTAAGAAATTATACATTAAGTATTGTGTATAAAAATTCAATTGACTTAAAATCTAGAACGCAAAGATAAATGTTATGAAATATATTCATATTTTATAAGAATAACTAATAAAAATATAAGAAATAAAATAATAACCTGCGTCATATTTTGGTTCAATAATATCTTCTTGAATTTCCTTACTGACTTCTTTGACTACTTTAGCAGTATTTTTATCTTCTAGGAATGGACATTTTTTCTTGCTATCAGTTTTATCATTAATTAAACTTGTACATGATCCACCATTTATGAATCTAGACATAACTGGACATGAGTGACCATATGTTTTAAGTAAACCAGAAACATAGTTTTTGATATAAGTAGAAGGCAGTTTTGACATGAATGGGCACGCCATGGTTCTAGAAAAAAAAAATTAAAAGATAAATTATAGGTAAATAATTATTTAGTGTTCATTATCAGAATTTGGAACTTATAATACATGCATATACATACTAGTTTTACTAAAACAGAACAGAATGAAATATAAGAAGTTTCAAAGAATAGATAGTTGAAATAATAAATTTAACACTGCATTTTTATTAGTATATTGAAATAATTATACCTACATACTTATCTGAAGTCAAAATAAGTAATTTTTAATTTTTGGTAATCATTAAACTACATTTTAAATAAGATATTGTCTTGAGCATATTATTAGATATTTTAATGATTTTTAATTATATTATATTTATTTATAATATAAAATGTATGACCTTAACAACTTTCAAATTTTATATTCTCTTTTATCCAAATACAGTTGCAATTTCATTTTTTTATTTTTTTAAATTCAATCACAATTTCATTAACTTTGTATATACTCGATGATAAATTTTTAATTCAAAACCAGTCATACTTTACAACTATAATAATATTCCAGTCTAAACTTTATTTATTTATTTCAATATATAAACTATTCTTTTTTTTATTTATATACCGATATATTATAAGACAAATATTAATGATATATTACATTCAAGTCCGTGTTGTATGATTAATACAAAAGTATATTTGACACCATATGAATAAAATATTTAAAATCTAAAATTATTCGATAAACTATGACATCTCATATGACATTTATCTACATGAAAGAATTATAAATACATATTAAAGGTAACTAGATTAGGTTAGGTATCTATATTAAAATAATTTGAATAATTATTGGGAGTTAAAATTTGATACAAAAATTGAAACTTATAGTTGATAAATACCAATACAATACAATTAAATATAACATAAAAGAATTACAAGGAATTTTTTTTAATTTGGATTATTAAATAGTTATATAATAAATAAAATATCAAAAGCAATTAGAGAATGAAACCAATACATGTAACTCATTTGAGATCACTGAAATCAGTTATTTATCTTATAATCCATGAGTGTTTGACCTTAACTAAACTAAATCCATTATACTCTTAATTGCTCATGGCAATTTTTGAATGAATAGCATAAAATCAATAACTTTCTAATACCGTACCTAAACCTGTTCTGTGAAAAAATCTCAAGGATTGTGATTTTACTCTAGTAGTATAGCACATTGATAGGAGATATAATATTATGTAATAGATTTGGTAAGTAATGGTATAAAAAATAAGAACATTTAAAATAGTTAATAATTCCAAAACTAAACTGAAGTGAAAAATTTCAAGTACACCTTTGTGTTTGGACAATCAACAACACATTAGACAAAAAAAAAAAATTAAGAATTTGCTTTATAATCAAAATGAATTTACTGTTTGAATAAATTATAAACTATTAATGTTAGTGGGTGGAAGGAAGGGGGTAATTTATTGTAACAATTTCGACAGAACAGATGAATTGCAAAATTAACAGTTCAATGTCAAACAATGATTTTTGGTGTATAATTATAGTTAACCTTCACACATCAAAAACCAAGGTATAACTCTACAACTCGGTGAATCAAATAAATTGTTGTGTCGCGAACAATCTATCGGTTCGATAGGCAGCATCGTAAGAAATGTACGACAAGCCACAAGTGGGGCAAACACGCGTTATTGGTACGGGAAAAAATAAAAATAATTCATCTAGGCCAGTGACGACAACGTTCAGAAAGACCTGCCGATTCCGACGAGATCAAGGTGAACTCGATCGGCTTTCACCCTGTTTCGCGGGAACGGCGAGCCAACATTCGATCATTGTTTACCGCACTAATGATAATCCATCCAGCGGATTTTATATTGTTTTTCAGTATTTATTTGTTTTATTTTTCGCGCCCGTTTCGATTTCAACCGGCCGAAATCGCGCGAAACAAGCAGCTCGGAGACGGTTGATAAGAGAAACGGTACGGAAATGATAAAACCTCGGCGGCGACGTCTACGCGTCCCCGGATAACTCACCTGTGCGCGTGTTCGACTGGTCTGCGAGCGGACGCGGGTACGCGTTCAGGACTTCGGTCTTCGGGCGAGAGCGTACGTGTCCGACGGACGATGGTTGACGAACTGGGCGACGGTGGCGTGTAACGCGAAGTGAAACCGTCGGTCGGTGGGGGAGGGGAACGCGCGGAGACGAAGTTGTGCTGTGAAAAGGAATAGTCTGGTGACGAAAACCGAACGACAAACGGGTAACTCTGACGTCAGAGTGCGGAGAGTTTCTCTCGCGTCAAACGTTCGTCAGCGCGTCGTTCGTCGGTCCGTCCGTGCGGCGTCCAGTGTCGGTGCTATGGTCGCGGGCAGCGTCGTGCGAGTGACGGGTCGACGTTCGGGACGGCGAATTCGCGCGATTCGGCGCGTCGTCGACTCGCGCGCGGCCGCCGTCGAACGCCCGAGAAATACGTGTCCCCGTTGCCGCGCGCGCGTTATCACTCCTTATCAGTCACATGTTTTTTTTTTGCGAATTTCTCGTCGTCGCCATCCCTCCGCCGCACGCGCACCCCGTCCGGTTGCCGCACGCCCAGTTGCGCGTTGTTACGAAAACCGTCCGGGATCGCCCGCGCCCACGAATCGCTTTCAACTTTTATTGAACGTCGTTTTTTTTTTTTCAGCACCATTCGCTTTTGACGAATATGTAAGAACCCACCGGTCGATTTTGATCGGAAAGAATTCGACCAACGCGTTCGTATCGCTGTGATTTTCGGATGGTTTCGTGTCAACGGCTGTTCGGTGATCGATAAAATTTTATCCCTGTGCTTCTCTAACCTTACCCGTAAATTCGGTATTATCGTTAGCTTCCATACATGACCGATCGTGATGATATTAATAATCTTTCGGACAACGCTTGCACGAAAGGATACAATACCGCATTATACTTTGGTCCGTCGTTTACAGTACACTAGGTTTTTCTCTCGGGTTGTTACGAAAATTATCATCGTCTATAAGTTCCGTAGTTACTATGGTATATTTATATAACATACCCGACTCTCAGGACGATACGATTTACGTCATTTTTTCAACTACAAAAATTACTCTTAATGGGTTACGTTAGGCGTTCGCTATGTTCACTACTTAGAATTCGAATATTGTAATACTTTATTGTAATATTATGTATTATAATAAAATTGTGCATTGCAAGCAAAAAATATTTAAATATTTCCTGAATATCAAATCATTTAAAGCTAGCAAGTATAATTATCTGTCGCAGATACGATTCTAAAGAATGTATTCATTATCAATTTAATTGATGTAATTTTTGTAAAATTATTTCTGCTAGTTATATTAATTAAGAACCATTACATATGCGTTACAAATAATAAACTATGATTTTATAATAAAAGGTAAATAAGAATATAAAAATTATTAAATTGTACTTCAATAGCAAAATTAATTTAATGAGCTTGTATTTAAAATATGCAATACTTTTGAATACTTTTGAGTATTTTTTGGTGCTAAAAATAATAATTTAATGACAAAAAAATCGAAAAAAAATACTCGTTTGAGATCCATGTCTGACTATGTGTTTTTGATTTTTACGGCAAAATATATACAAGCAAAGATCACCTTCAAATTATTTTTTATGAAAAATTGTCATTTAACTGTGCAAATAATTTAACTAAATTTTAACATTCGTTAATAAAAGTAATTTATTATTTTTCTTTACCTTTAGTGGCTTATATTAAAAAACTTTGCGTACCTACTCGTATCGCATCATGTATGATATAGTCTATAGACCAGCGGTTCTTAAACTGTGGTACGCGAAAGGCCGCATGGTGGTAGAACGGAAATTAAAAATTCAATATTTAACTCATATATTAATTTAAAACACTAATAAATTTGTAATAATAAATAAATAATAATTTTATTTTAGTATTTTACTGCCTTTTTATTTAAAATAAATATATTTAACTATGTGAAGTTTGTATGGTTTTATTTTTAATCATTAATAGTACGTGACTGATTGATAATATACTCATGTGGTACGCGAAAAAAAAAATTTGAGAACGCTGCTATAGACTAAATTGTCAATAATGCATTAAACGGAAAAAAATCGGAAATATCGAACATATCGGAAATCAACCGTTTAGCAAACTTAAAAACAAGAAAATATTACTTTTTAAAGCTGTAATTTAAATGTTCAATTAAGCTGTAAAAACAAGTTTATAGAAATTATGTCAAGAATTGAAGCATTTAATATAAATGATAATATCGTTCAATTTGCAAAGGTTACGGCTAGCACGTACAATAATAATAATATATTCAGAGCATTATTGAATCGGAATACAGCGTATGTAATTATAATACAAATGTTATTCTAATCATTATTAATTTAAATTTTTTTAGTTTATTTTTCTTCTATTTTTAGACTTTATTATACAATATCACACACATGTTTTACACGTATAATTTCATATCAATTTAATTTTCATGAAAGTTATATCATTTTAAATGTTCCGATAGTAATTTTATAATTTATTTATTTTACTACAGCTATTGCAGAAAATATATATACGTAAAAAATATACTCGTTAAATGTGCGTCGGATCCATTCGTTCTTTCGTTGGTCTACTACAGGGGCGGCCAAATGGTCGATCGCGATCGACTGGTCAATCGCGGACGAATAGTCGATCATGTTAGAATTTATTTTTAGGCTACGTGCACGAAAATTAATCGTGGTGGTTATGAACAAATTGTCGATAAATTTTATCTGAATAGTTTTTATCTTTTATTCTGGTTTATAAAAAAATTTTCCAAGAAAGTCGATCTTCAAAGGTGAAATATATTTTTAGTAGATCGTGGCCGAAAAAATTTGGCCGCCTCTGGTCTATTATATCGTTTTCACCGTCTCGATCCATTTCAGAATGTAAATGTATAAAAGTAGCCATTCATGTTACGTGCGTATAAATTATATAATCACGAGTAGGTATTTGCGTATGTACCGTGAATATATCTGTAAAATATTCACTGATCAATTTAAATAACATACTATTTCAGTAGACTACGTTCTAAATTCGATGTGACGGTTTCGTTATCCACTTTAATACGTTGGGCGTCGGCGAAAGTAAGTCTCACAACCTTATAATGCTCGTATAAGTAGAATATAGTCGATCGAGTCGGGTGTTTACCCTGCATTATATGTACAAAGGTTTTATTTTGCCAAGGATCACCAATATTCGATTATTTGTGCTTCGGGAGCTCAGAACCCAATAATCAACGCTATCACATCGCCACCATGTTTACCTTAATAGCAGCGTCGTGCGTCATTCCTATAGTAAATTATATCTATTTAGGTACGCACATTTCATTTTCAAGAATGGTAATTCACTAACGTGTTATCGTTATAATAATTTAATTATACCGGTACGAGGTGTAGTTCATGTAGGTCAATGCCGCAACTACATTAATTTGAGCTCATGTGTAAATAAAATGTAATGCCCCCCATCCTCCCCGCGTCCGGACTCCATTGGAAAACAGTACCTAAAATTAATTGTAACATATCTATTTTGAATTTCGATTATACTACAGGCTGCAAAAGGTAAGTTGATATACGATAATGTGTACAAAACAAAATCAATCAACAATATTGTTCAATCTCCAGTAATGATTATTATTACAAAATGATTTTATTTTCTTACTTTCTACATACTTTTCAAATATTATCACTGGGCCCTATTATCCTATTACAAGCTGGGGCTATGGGCTCGCGTGTTTGTCACACGCAACACACCCGGTTATTGCGGCACTGATGTAGGTACAATACGTTACCACATGTACAAAATAAATTCAAACCCGTTGAAATGAAAAAAAAAAATTTATGATTGCAAAACGGAGTGATTGGAATGTAGGTAATTTTAAACTTAATATGTAATTAAAAATGTATTTATAATATTGTAAATTACTAAAAGTACATCAGGATATAAGGATTTTCAGTTTTTCGACATTAAAAGAATACAACATTTTTGTTGTAGTGACCAAACTAATATAAAGCTAGCGGATGATATATTATACTAAAAGGTCGTAAATCGACCGGTAACGGTTATAGGCCGTGACTTTTGATCATTTGTATATGTATTGTTCAACCATTATGTAGCAATATGATGTATTCCAAATTTTAAAACAATAAATAATAGGCAAAAGTAATGTTGACAATAATATTTGTTTTAAGTGAAAAAATCAATCTTGTGCAATTAATTGTTCAGATAAATAGCAATAAGTAATCAGTTTTCAATATAACAATTATCGAACTGATGCAGGTATAGAATATACCAAAAAAATTTAAATTTCTAGTTTAGTACACTGTATGCAGTCAATATTTCGAACTTTTACAAAATATCTTAATATACGTAATATTATATTCATTACCTACATCCATAAAAAACATCAATATTTCAAATATTAAATATCGTATCCTGGTTCGTTTAGGCCATATACTTGTTTGTATAATTAAAATGTAGATATGTACCTATGTACACGTAACGTTTGAAGATGATGTACTATGAATCGATTTTTATGTTAAAAAATGTAACAATTATAATTACCTAATCTAATATAATATAACATCATAATTCATAATCTAACCATAAACCGGTTATTTCATATTTAATATCGTAACATACGTAAGATATTATTGTTTTGATTAGCTTACTTAGGACATGCAAGGCAGATTAGTCAGTTAGTTTTTTATTTAAATGAATTACAAATTAATTAATACAAATTAAAATATATTTAATTGCTCTAATATAATCTGCAGTGGGGTATTCAGGAATTCAAAAGAAAATGTACTCAAGAAAACTTAACTATGAGACAAATACAAAGGGACAGTGCCGACAGTAGAGTCATTGGAGCTCCGAACGAATAAACAAATATACGTCCTTCCCCATATAATTAGTATTGGTTTTATTTTAAATGGTTATTTGATGCTATTAATATCTAAATTTTAAATTAATAGTGATTACGAACGGCGATTGATAATAATAACGATTTATTATCTATGGTCTAAATTATTAGGGATCATTTATGTATTGTATTTATTATGATAGGTAATTATTAATTACCTATCATAATAAATAATAATCAAAAATAATGGACTTATTATTAGAATTATATTCCTATAATTTTTTTAGTTTTAACATTATGTCATTGAAACGCCTCCTTTCAACAAGCGCCTTGGATGTAGGGCTAGGTCACCCACCCCTAACACCAGCCTTGTATAGGGGTTAATGGTAACATTCATACAAAGCAATTTTAATGTTTATTTAATAATATTTTTAAGTTTTCATAAAGAAATGTACAACATATTGAATTAAACCAATTTGTATTTTTATTTTATAACAGTTGCTCAAGAAATAACACAACAAAAAATAAAATGTTAACTAAATTAAATTTATAGTTAATCATATCAATTAAT